CAAGTGCAGGACTAAGAGAGGCAAGGAGACTGGAGTTAGATAAAAGAGGACCATTTATTGCAAGGTTGAAGGGATCGGATATCGAGCCAGGGAAGAGTGGCAGACTATGTGCAGAACCCGGTTGGTGGCTGATGTACAGAGCAGGGGGGAAACCGTAACAGAGTCCAGAGTGTGGTAAGCCGAGTCGAGCAAATCCAGAGCAGAATCCGGGAATGGTTTAGCAGGACAGGGGTCAAGAAAGAGCAGGTGGGATGAGCGCTATTCTATACTAGTTCTTCTTCTACTATAGGCCTAATAAAATTTAAATATGTTCATTATGTTGTAGCCTGAAGTTTACTGATTAAATTTAAAAAGTAAGTTATCCGACTATTTTGATCTGTAATGAAATTAAGGATTGTAAAATTAATAAACCCCATAACTGCCCCACTGCCATTGTCACTCACTTTAAAGTGAACTGGAGCGTTATGTTCACTGCCAAAAGACAGAGGTCAGGTGTGCAAAAAACCTGAAATTCAAACCTGAATATTCAAATCCCAAACTTGAAAAACACCTACCCTATGAACAAATATTTGGGTCCAGGCCTAGAACATACCAAAATCTTTTTTCAACCCGCTTAATTTTGTCTCAAAGCTATTCACTGGCAAGCTGACTAAAAACACAGTTCATGCAGTCTCCATGTGTTATCCATGTACCTGAACATTGTAGTTAGTTCTCCCAAGTGAGTGGAAAGCAACATAACTCTGAACACACAAAAATTTATTTGCTTGGACTTCTTCCTTGCTGTCTGGATGCAATGTTACACTTATCTACTCACATCCCCCCCCACACACGAGGAAAATGAGAAGGTGAGGGGTTCAGTATGCCTACTGCCAGATGAAAGACAACCCTGCTCGTCCTTTTTCCAGGCAATTCCACGGTTCAGCCAGTGAATGTCCTCTCAAGCTAGTAGCCTCTAATTCACTAGCCGCTCATTAGAGGTTAAACCAATATACTACAAAACACCCAGGACCCAAACTGAGCGAGAGGACGGACACATAATGTTATAGTGTGAGCGAATGCGTGTCTGTTTACCTTGTAATTTTACACTTTTGCTCATTATCATCTGCTTCAGGGAGCTTCCTCTTCTTCTTCACAGGCATCACTGAACCTTTAATAGGCTTCACTAGCTGGGCTACATATGGGAGGAGGGGGTCAAATGTTAGTGAGGCAACACATCCACCTACACACGAGGATCAGGATAAAATGTTCAGGAGGCAGGTCATACCTGTGTACCTACGACTGCCTTGTCCATTAAGATCTAAGTGATTCTAGAATAAAAGAAATCCACTATTCAGGTAAAAACGTCTCTGTACAACACTTTGATAAGCCTTAATCCACTCAGAGGTTAGACATTAAGACTGAGAAATTGTTCTGCAGATAAGTTTAACAGTGTTATCACTGTGTAAATGTGCAATACCTTTGTTCACTACATTTAAAAATGAACAACTACTTACAAGCTTGTCCAGTGTTCCTGATGTTGTACCGCTGTCTGGCCCGGATTGTTCCTACGAGTAGACATATAATCACCATTATTAGATAGTATTAGTCAGCATAAAAAGGCCAAGATCTCGTTAGAATGATTTGCAAACTTTAGGAAAACAAAAAAACTAAATATATTTTCTGGTGTTTTAATATGAATTAATCTATATTAAACAATATTTGTGATATGCATGTATGCATGTCTGCTGCCATTATCACTCAACTATGTGGCTTTTACAGTATGCAGATGTTGACATACACAAAACACCACTGTTAGAAAAAAAAAAAAAAAAAAACCAAGGGGTAAAAGATCCATGAGTTTAAAACTGCATTGACGTTTAGAATATAATGAGATAGGAAATCACAACTATGGGAAATTATAACAGTGGCAACAAATATTTGTATCCTCTGTAATGACGATAGTGATGTAAAAAGTAAAAACACAGTTCACATTTATTATACACATAATTTACCAGGGATATGTGCTTTCACAGATTTCATTAGCCAAAGCAGCCTGTTACCAGATGAGGTCACATTGTGCTGTAACAAAAGCTGCTGAACCTGGTGTGACTTTTTTGGATGACCCTTATATTGCCAGAATCCTGTACTTTGTGCCAAAGTAGTGGCCGTTTGTTCACAGAGCACTGTTGTCTGTCTGGAAAACAACATTAATGAAGTTGGCCGAAAAGGCCACAGTCAGTTTTCCGGTTTCTCCACACCAAAACAGGGAGAACCATTTCTTTATGAACCTGGCTTAGTGCACAGGGAGCCCTGTCAAAAACAGGGCCTTCCCTAAAACTCTTGCCAATATCATTGTATGTGTAAGCATTAAAATTTATCTTAATTTGACCCATGAAAAACAGACTCAAAGTGCATGGACAGGTACCATATGTTGTAGCACTACATGTGTAACAACTTTTAATAAAACAATAAAAGTGAATTTTGGAGATTAATATCTAAATCATGCTGCAGAATGCAGGTTAACAATCCAGATTTGCTCTTTTTTAAATATGCAATCATTTAAAAAAAATATGCTGGCAGTTGTCATGAGCATGATTCATAATTCCCCAAATGTCAGCGTTTTAATCATCTGAGTAATGTTGGAAAAAGATGGTATGCTGAAAGAGGGAAAAACGAGCATTTAAAAACAAGGCCGGTGGTCGGTTCAGCTTGTACTCTGCGATTATCTGTGACATAACCCTACCAAGTAAAACCGACTGCTGCGTCACCAGATTTATTTTTCTCCGGTGCGGTGATCAGACTTCATATAAACGCTTAACATAAAGCAACTGGCAGGCTGGTCTAATATAACGTAGGACACAAACCATTGATCAGAGCGAAAACAGGGTTTATCCGATGTTTCCTCGATGTGTGATGTTAATTAGGGCGAGGTTTTAACCTAAATAACAAAACACGACTACTATCTGTGTTTGTTAAATAAAATGCGAGGGTAATGTTACAGGCGGTAGCAGAGGATGTTGCTTATTTAAATTCATATAAATGCACTTTAAATGTCTGAAATATGAAATAAACCAAGTGTTGTGTAAGTTACCTACTTTCAGTCGAAATTAAAAAGGTGGAGAGTTTTTAGTTATTTAACCACATACCATCGGGTTAACAAATCACCACATTTCGGAGCTGAATATAACATTTTAAAGGAGTCTGACGACTGTTTTAACCTAAATTATCATTAAATAAACGGCTGTAAGACTCTTCCGTTGATGCTAGCTTAACGCGGCTAGGATGACTAACGTTAACGTAATATCACAAAATCGTAACCAGACCTCGCATCTGATATTCGACTAAACGCCACATAAACTTTAATAACAATGTTAGTTTTACATTTGTCTAGTGTTCAACCTTTCGCTGCTTGGAGACTTCTTTTGTTTACTAGCTAATGTCAGCGGAGCGCCGCGGTTGTCACAGCTAGCTAACTGCTAACGTTGGCTAATTTGTCAACACACGCGTCAAAGGCTCATGAAACCCACCTGAACCAGATTAAACCGAAGTACAAGATAGTTATTTGTTTAAATATTCAAAACTACGAGAAGTAATTTAGATACTTCTAAACACTTACTTTCTACAGTTAGTTGTGGGCTGATAAATCTGCTCCACTTCTTCTCTTTCGCAGGGGTTTTGGCTGTCGCCCGGCGTTTTCCGGGGGAGTGGACGATACCACTGCTTTATGGGGGTGTAGAGTGAAATAAACGTTCCCGGTTACGAGGGAAATGTTTGCATACACGCGTTTTAACATATAAATATTAAAAATAACAACATTCAATCTTACTGTGAAATTATTCAAATAAAAAATACATAACAGTTTAACCAACAGTGAACCACGCTAGGAAAACGGGTCCACCCTGCTGGTCCAAAAAAAGGTGAAACGTGCATCTTTTTAAAGGAACAATCCGTTATTTTTGGCACTCACATGTAGCCCTCTCACGTTCTTTAGTGGACTCAAAATCGCTGACCCACGAAACCCCATGAATGTGACACGAGTTTTTACTACAGGCTACAGGCTTTACAACTCTCTCAGTGGCACCTAGCTGCACATTACTGGGGAAAAGGGTGGGTTCCAATGTGTCATTATGCAGTTGTTTATCAGCTAATTTATTTGGATTGCATGGTTTTATGTGTATTTGTTCATGCTAATACAAGAATTGTTTATGACTGTATACAACTTTTTGTCTGCTAGGGAAACACCACATTCAAAAATCAAGAACAACAAACACCTTTATGGCATCCCTCGTTATTTATTTTTAATCACATTTATTTTTCTTTATGTTGTCCCTGACAATTTAAAACAGGTACTGCATGACCAGAATTGTGTCTGTCATTATTGGGATTATCGAGATTTGGGAATCTGGAATTACTGAGCTCGAGCCACAGAAACAAAGTATAAACAGGCAGAAAATGTATCTCCCTTGTGTAAGTCAATGCTGGAAGAAGTATTCAGATCTTTTATTTAGTATTCAGATCTTTTATTTAAGTAAAAGTATCAATAAAAACGTCTAAAGAATTAGCATCAAAATGTACTTAAAGTACCAAAAGTAACTACTCATTATCCAGAATGGTCCATTTCAGAATAATATAGGCCTAAATTATATTTCTGTACTATAATTATTGATGCATTCACATGTCAGCATCACGTTAATATGAACACCAGGAAGAATGACTAGCATGTACACATTTGATTGTATTCATGCTTTTACCTACATACATTTCCAGAATATGGACAGAGTGTAGCTGCTGGCTCTGTTGATCACTCTGTTGGAGCTCTCTTAAACCAAGTCGAAACACTATAATGCTTATATATGGCACTTATCTTTTATTTAAAATACATGCAAGATAATGTAAGATGAACAGTTATCACAAATCATTTTCAGTAACCTGAAGCTAGAGTGAAAGACTCTTTGAAACAAAATCCTTGTCCACCCACCACTTAGGTTGTTTGGAAGTGAATGAAACAAAGAAAACCGAAATCTCTGTCTTTACAGCAGTCTTTATTTTGCCAGGAAATAAATTATTCAATTTAAAAAAATATTTGAAACAAGCAAAACAACACAGCACATGAAAATAGTTGAACCTCTCCTCTCACTCCAGCATCACAAAGTTTAATGTCTCTTTATTTGATGTAGTGGCAAACATTCAGCTGGTTGAGGCTGCGACTGATTGTGTTTAGTTCAAGTTTTGTCATTATGCAAGGCTACAGGTAAGTCTGCCCCTGCTGTGCAGACGGGGCTGATGGGCGGGTACACGGTTTCAAATTAGAAAAACACAGCAACCACAGCCCGCCCCACAGCCTAAAAAACATTTTCATCTCCTTTAACTTCAACTAAAGTTAGCCCAGATGTTTCTGAAACAGGATAAAATGACAGTTTCACCAGCTAATACTGATTATTGATTGGACAGAACAGATTCGACTATTGTTTAACATGGTTTTAAATACAGAATGTCTAATAAAAAGGGCAGTAAAATACATGTATTTAAAAAAGAAAAAATTAAATTTAAATACATTTTCTGTTTAGATTGTTTAAAGCTCTCTGGTCTGAGAGCCGTACAGTCGGCTCAGACTTACACATACTGTATTTCTTACTTTTTGAATATACTTGAAGACCCCACTGAAGCTTGTTGCACAAAACTCTAGGAAGCTGTGGATTAGGGCAGCATTCAATATGATCACCAAACCATATAAAAAAGAAAAATAGTGACAAATTAGATCAGTTAATACCTGAAAAAAGTAAAATCATAACTCAGTCACATACAAACGTCTCTGTATATATTGTCGCATACACAGATTCCCAGATTTGTTGAAGTTGTTGAATGCAGAAGTTAAATGTACTCGGGTCAAATTACATTTTAAACCAGATTTTCACTGTAGCTCTGGAAGCTTGACAATTTTGGGCAAATGGTTAAATAAGATTCAGAACTTGTGAGATGATGTTTAGAAATAACTTCACCCTGAACCTGTGAAAGACTTCTGCAACAGAAATTAATGTTTGTCAATCAAGTCTATAGCCATGCTAATAGCTCAGTGAGGCGGCGCTTTGAGTTACATGTTATCAACCTGCTAGCATGATCGCAATGTCAACACTAGTATCCCGATGTTTAGCACGTATAATGTTTACTATGTTCAGCATCATTGTTTAGTGTGTTAACATGCTAATTAGCAATAAACACAAAGTACAAGAGGCTGACGGGCATTAGTTTACAAGGTTTTTAGTCATAAACTGAAGTATTTGTCAAATTCAAACTTAGTCCTGGTCAGATTGAGAGCTCAGGGTACATCCTCCGGGAGCCATGAATGTCTGACACACAATAGTAGTCGAGATTTTTCAGTCTAATGGTGCACTAACAGAAAACTGTGTGAAAACACTGACATTTTTCATGCAGTGGTTTTTCAAATTTTTCATATTTCTGAATAACATTTCACACAATCACACCACTAAAACTGTCTCTCAAACCAAGTTTCTGCAATTGTTAAAGCTCCAGAAACTGCTGAACCCATCTGGTTTCAAAGCAGACAAAATAAACCTCAAAGGGTCTGGAAATGTCCAATGCCAGGTGTTCACACTAAATCTCAAGCAGTAGGGAAAAATCTAATTATTATAGGAAAAATCCACCCAAAAATATTTTTTTGTGTCAGTACGTAGGGATATTATTGTTAGCTCTTGTTTAAATTTGCTGGGGAAAACCAAATGAGTGGAAGCTGTTGAATAAGTCAAATGAAAGAAAGAAGTAGTGACATTCATCATTTCACTGTACTCCATGTACTCAAGGATGTTTAAAAGTTTAGAAACAGGAGATCAATACTAACTGAGCCAGGTCTGTGCATAGAGAATAAAACTGCATAATTTGATTGACATGAGTTTGTTTCATTTCAACCAGGCAGACTTCACCACAGTCAGAAAAGTGTGTTAGCATTTTGACAAACTGCAAGAATGAATTGACTTATTAAAGTGGAAAGTGAATTAATGTAGACTAAAAGTTGTTTTCTTATCTTAAAAGTGGAGTTGAAACAAAGGAGAGAGTTGCAGTGAATGCATACTGTGTCAGCTCTATGGATGTGCACTAAGAAAACATGTGTCCAAAAACAAAACATTCTTCATAAATATAGAGTAAATACAAAAAGTTCAATCCCAAACATTCACCGTTGTCTTTCATCTTCTTTACGGCTCTAATAATAATGTGACCGAGTTAAATCATAGCTATACTTTTAGGACTGAGGGGTACAAATTATTTTAAACGGAGGCACCTTATTTTTTAAAGCAGTGTCTTTGACAATTTTTTGGGGGATTAGAAGCTTTATTTTTCTCTGTCTAATTCATTGAGTTTCTGCAGCAGAACTTGTTTTCACTGACAGTGCTGAACATGTGGAGGAGCTGCTGTAGGAATTATTTAAAACAAAAATTATTTTAAATGTCTAAGCAGCAGTCACATAACCCTGCAAATGCGAGAATCAACAGTATGTAAATGTTGATGTGACAGTATTTGAGTTGCTTTAGCACTTTCAAATATGTTTTTAATAGCAATTCAGCCCTCGGAGGACACACAGAAACACCACTTGTCAACTCCCTATATATGCTTCAGAAGAAAACGCTGGAGAATTGCAGCAAATAAAAATGTGCGAGGCTTTGAAGAATAAAAGCTGTGAGAAACACAATAAGTAAAAGAAAGCAGCATCTTCATTTCTAATGACCAATTTCACTTTTATCTTTTTGTCTGATGTCTCTCGCCTGAACTACCCAACTGTAAATGAATAGATTGTATGATTTTGTGCATCGGGAAGGTGATCTGTCACAACTTTGTCCCAAGTGTTCCAAGAATTCTAAACTTTTTAGACCTGTAAAGGGTTTGTACATAAAACTGAACATTAAGAGTTTCATTCCAAATTGATATTTATATACATTGTAAACTGTAATGCACAGGGGGAAATAAGTAACAAGATTCTCCCTGGAACAAATAAGCAGCAAGGTCTAAGGGTAAGTCATGACTTAAATATCATCACACAGTATGATTCAACTTTTTATATATATTGACATTAAAAATCTCATTTTGGAATAAAACTCTTGAATGATAGGTTCAGATTGATTGATTGATTGTAAACTCTCAGTTTCAGAGTCCCAGTAAGCCGTCCCCCTCTCAAAAAAAGGACGAAAAAAATCCACAGTTCTCGCAAAGACACCATCCCGCCTTGAAGCTTCAGCTGTCTGACCAAGCCAATTCACAAAATTATTTGTGTTGCTGTTTTTGTTTTGAATTTAAAAAGATACTGTATGTACTGAACAGGACATTTTGCAGTTCTCTGGTGACAAACTGCTTAAGTGGAGGGATGTGTTTCTAAATTGCTTCCAAAAATACCTTTTGTATTTCTGTGCAGCAATTTTTTGTTACGTCTTGGGCTTGGCCAACAAACACACTGATAAATCTGTGATAAGACTGGCTCTACTGCCTGCTCTGATCAACCTACGTAAATACAATGAGGTCACTGTTTTAGGTTACAGCTAACAAAACATGTGACCCTGAGCAGCTGTGGCTCAGGAGGTACAGCAGGTTGTCCGTTATCTGCAGGTTAATCCTCCTGTCCACATGGCTTTGAACAAGACACACAACCCCAGTTTGCTGGCCAGTCAGTGGCTTGCAAACCCGCCCCACCGCCATCAGTGTGTGTGTGTGTGTGTGTGTGTGTGTGTGTGTGTACAACTGAGATGCAAACTGCAAAGCACTTTGTCTGCTGAGGTATAAAAGCGCTGTTACAGTAGCTAATATCTGATCCCAGTCCCATAGAGGAAGGAGTAATACACTGCAAAACAACTTTGAACTTTGCGTTTAAGTAAAAAACAAGAAGTTAATGTCAGTTGGTTCAGTAAATTTTTACCTATTCAAAAGGTGACACTATCTTAAAAAAACATTAAATTAATGATGTCATTATGTTGCAGAATTTTTCATACTTCAATCATGCACATCTTATGGATGAAAGTGAGTATTAGAAGTGGTATTTGATGCAATTATTTAATTTATTTTTTGTTTTATATTCTTGGATTTTGTTTACTTTAATTCTATGTAAAGCACTTTGTAACTCTGTTTTGAAAGGTGCTCTATATCAGGGGTTTTCAAAGTGTGAGGCGGGGCTCCAAACAGTTTCAGGGGAGGCTCAGTGAATGGAAGTGAAACAATATTACATTACTTTTTACATTAGTTATCCAAAGGAGATCACATAAAATAGCCTACATGTGTGAGAGTTCAGAGTAGTTGTCAGAGTCAGAAACTAATAAATGCCTTAGGACAGACCTTTTTAAAACTATTAGGTGTAGACAGAAGTTATGTCAAACAGCAGTATTAGGCTATTTTGGCTCAAATGTTGAGTGTCTATGGGATCAAATAATATAATCATGATCCCACGGGCATCCAGGAATTGAGCGAAACTTACCAAGTAAACTAAAGATGTGGTGGGGGGGGCGCCGATTCCCAATGCAATGTCTGAGGGGAGGGCCGCAGTCTCAGAGTTTGAAAACCCTGCTCTATATTATTATGATCATCATTATAGAATCTGACTATTCAGAAAATATAGTTTGACACCTGTTAACACCTGTCAGACTTCTGAAGCTTCACACCAGCTTCAGGCGAATGTTGGAACAAGTTCTTGGAATTAAAAAAAAAACATTGTAGTGATTGTTATGTATAGCTACTCTATTGAGACTGAGAATAAAAACCGAATGGGCCAAATGGCTGCTTTGTTTCAACAAATTCACTTTGATAATGAGTGACATTTCCGTCCATGCATGTGGTGTCTGTTGGATCTGTTACTTTGGGCAGAAAGGGAGAAGACATTGTGTAAAGAATGACACCACGAGGATGAATGAGGTGATAATTCAGTAATGGAGCTTCTAGTCTATTTAAGTGTGTTGTGTTTCTAGTTTTCTGCAGCCCATTTAAATACCTGGTCACAGTTTTAGACATTTCCGTCTTTGATGCATTCAGCTGGTATTTAATCTCACAATGTCCAGATCACGGGTCTTTACACGCCAAATAAATAGTTTGCAGAATGATTATTTTGTAACACAGACAATACTTGTTCACCTGTTGACAAGCTTTACCTGCTGCCACAGGGGTTAAAAAGAATAACTAAATATCAGCATTTAAAGAATGACTGGTTTTGATTTCCCAACCTCAAACACAACCAGAAAGTGTGACAGATCCTCCACTGAACAAAAACAAAAATCATAAAGCAGCATGCTGTTGAAAGTGCACATACACACATCTAAAAGACCAGATACACACCATGCATCCAAACACACACACACACACAATTTGGCAAAATACTCCTTGGTAGTTTCAACCAATCTCCCTTCCGTGTCCGCTCCTCCTCAGTGGCAGCTTTCACTCGCTGCTTTTTGCATTCCCAGTTCAAAAATAAGACAAATGTAGAATAGGAGGGATGCAAAATGGCTGCCGCTAAGATGGCAGCTGTGGCATTAAGTGAAAGCAAAGGATTGATATCATTTGTCCTCCCTTCACTCCTCACTTCTCCTCCTCCTCTTTTGCAGTCCCTTGCTGATGAAAGTAAGGCAGGAAGTATTTAATTTAATAATGTCACTATTTTTTTTTTCCTCACTGGAGCTGCTGGCAGACGGCACACGCTGCCATACTTCTCCTCTGATCGACACTAGAGGGCAGCAGAGACACACAAACAGTCCGACTTCGCCACTCTACGCCTCGAAAAGACACACTGGTGTCTCACAAACACATAAAATATCCAGAATTTTGTTGAAAAGGCTCCTTTTCGTCCATCAACACACACTACTACTCATCATCACCACTCTCCTTTTCTTCACATCCTTTTGTTCCTCGTCCCTCTCTTCTTGCAGGTCAAGCGCCGGTCGCAGGCTAGGAGTAAAAAACAGAGCAATAAAAGTGCTCCCTTCCTCGCTGCCTAGGCCATGTAGATAAAGGTGTTGATGTCTGTCTCGTCCCTCTTTATGTACTTTTGTTCGATGAGCCACTCGATCTGCTCCTTGATCATCTTCTTCTGAGGCAGGAACATGTTCTTCAGGATCTCCACAAGCTCCGTCTGCAGCTGAGCGTTGCTGATCCTCTTCCTCATCTTCATGATTTGGATGATGGCCTCCTTGTTGAGAAAAAAATAAAATGTTAGCACCTTTAGAAGCTCTACAAACTGTTTAGTAGACCATATGCACAAGCTCACCCGTCCTGTCCTGGCTTCATTATACTGGCTGTCATTAAATCAGACATGCCGGGAACACAAGACAGATTTGTTAAAGTCTTAAGAGTCTAAAAGCAGTCAAAAGTCTAATTTAGCTGCTTCTACGTCCAAGTCTATGATAAGATGGATTTAAAGAACAGACTCACAATTTTTCAAGTATCCAAATACAATTCTGACATGCCCATAAGTACACTGAAAAAGGTTTTGGGTCGGTGTCGTTGTTCCTTCTAACATGCATTCAACGAGAGGACGACATAATCTACTACTTGCTGAACCATGTTGGAGGGACCGTACTAAAGATTCCCACTTGATTTGTCGAACTTAGACTGCTGATGCCTCATTTAAGCTTCAGCTGATCTTCAGAACGATTTGCCAAAAAAAAAAAAAGGCTGTGGATTTTGTCTCTCATCTATTACATTACAATTGTGTTGGGAAGTGATTTCTTCCAAGCGTTGTTTCAAAGTTGTTTTAAGACAAAATGTCCCCCCTGAAAGCTTTAGCCGTCATGATTCCTTTTCTGAATTTCACATTTTTTACAATGATGATCCTCCTGCCACCAGAGCTGAGACTGACTTTGGTACATTGACACACTGTTATGTAAGGTTAACATTTAGGGTTTGGGCCTATTTTAATTGCACAAGCACAACAACAGGCACAGAGGAGTTAATCGTGGGTATCTTCAAGCACACTTACTACTTAGGTTCATGTATGTGCAGCAGCACAAAGTGCAAAAGGGCTATGTGATGTGTAATATAGATCACTACAATTCCCTCCCTGTGGTTTTATGCTTTCTCGACTCTCTCCTCTCTCCTTCTGTCGCTTTCTGCATGTGTTTCTGCCTCCGGAGCTGCAAACAACCTACTGCTTCCCACTCGACACCCGCTGCTATAATAATAATTATTATTATACATCTCAAACTGCACAACAACTTAAATGATGCACTAATTAAAGGTTCATTTGTCTCTGCAATTAATAGGGTCAGCTGCAAGAGTAATGTTTTAGATGCCACAGCACGTCAGGCCCTTGAAAGGGAGTGTGCGGATATATTGGCAAAAACGATTCGTGGTTATTGTGGCGCTTTGGATCATCACGGAATGTGCTTCTACAAATGTGAATCTTGTTAGAGCCAAAACTTGGCAGAAAGACACTCCGATCCAACTCTATTCCCTTCATTCCACCGCTGACGCCGTTAAAAATGATAGACATTTCAATCAATTCAATCTCCAAACTCGTAAGTTCTTCTTTTTACTCTTCAATGTCATTTTCACGAACGGACACATTCCTGACAAATGGGACGGGATGCGTAGCCTTTTATGGTATTATTGTGGCGTTAAGTTTGCTGATATACAACTCTCATGAACTCAGTTACACACCGTGCAGAAAAAAGGAAGAAAAAGTTGAAATGAAAATGTTCTTGCATTAGGGCCTATTGTGAGTGTTATATTTTCGTACCTGAGTTCTGAGTATTCTGAGCTGAACAATTCCTTCATTCTCCTCTTCTCTCATTCGCTCTGTGGTCAGCTGCAGCCGACCAATCAGATTGATCTTTCCCCGCTTCTGGACTTTGGAGTTTTTTCTGAGAAACAAACAGCCACAAAGACACAGACAATCAATATCCTAAATACTTAAAAGTTTAACAGTCATTTATGGTTAGGTGATATCTGTTAACAATTAATATATTTGGAGATAAGAATATCATCTATATGTAGTACATAATTATAATTTTATATTTAATCATGGTACTTCGTATATAATTGACACCTTTTGCACACACACTTGTTTATATTTTAGCTGAATGAAACCATGGACCAATAAGGACAAAACTTCTACTTTCATCGGTATCACACGTTTTTAGTGAAGAAAAAGTACTTTGCTTTGAGATAGTAAGTATATAAAATATTTTTCTAATTTCTAAAAGCACCATAACATACATGAGTGAGAACTCCTGGTTGACGTAGAAGAGTGTGCTGTCTGTGAAGTCTTTGGGCGAGCTAACTGAAGGGTCATAAGACAACACTTGTCTCTTCAGCTTGGGGAAGGCCACCAGAGACTGCACATAGAGGAGAGAGCAGAAGAAGTAAAGTTTAATATATGATAATACTTCCAACGTGTGCGTTTTCCTCCCTACACATGCTGCCAACCATCCATACAGTCCCTTTTCATTATGGTACCACCATCCACACTGTCTGATGCACTCTGACTCCGATCAACTCTCCTACTCAATTAAACATTCTCTGATTATCTGTAACACCTATAGAGGACTGCAAAACATGACTGCGTCGCTCCTGCATGATTTAATATCTATCATTATGTGCTCTTTAACTTAACTAGTACATAATGTAATTGGTGGATTGAAATAAAACATTTATATCTGACCCAGAGTGTACGACGTAGCTCTGCGTCAGGCAGCTCTGTGGCCAGTTTGAGGTTCTCAAAGCTGATTCTCTCTCTGGGTCTTTGGTTCCAGGCGAATAACACCGCCAGCTGGAACGTCGTCACCTCCAGGTCGTACTGACCCACCGCGTTTTTAAAGGTGATCTGAGCAAGAGGAGAAACAAAGGAGAAGGTGAGAGGAGCAGAGTGTCCTCTCACTGGCAAGACGGCAACCATTTGGTTTGGTAGCCAGCTGGAAAGAATACATTAGAGAAAATACTCAGGACTGCAGCTACTGCCCGCTCTCTCCCATCTCTTTCTTCAATTCATTAAATTCAGCTTCACTGTAATGCTGCCAGTGTAGACCATCAGAACTGCTTGTTGGATGGTCAAACAGCTTTGGAAAACCAAAGAGACGGTGAGAAGACAGAAAAGAAACAATAAGGAGGACAGAATAATAGTAGAGAAGTGAAGATGAATATGGGGAAGATAAGGTTGAGGGAGATGAGAAGGAGAGATTGGATGAACAAAAGAAACATTTGTCCCTATAATTTCTAAAACCAATTTCCATATTTCGGGAGCGAAGAAAACTGTATTTTAACTCCCTGAGATTCTGATTGCTGGTTCTTTATGACAGCAGGAACCCTGCATTATCTACTTTAATAGTTCACTCACAATGCCGTTGGACATGAGGTGATGCCAGTGGAGTTTGCGACCGCTGTGATTCCTCTTGTAGAACTCTTCCACCTCAGGGATCAGGTCCTCCAGCTCCGTGGGTAGCGAGACAAAAACTTTCTCACTGCTTCGTGACCAAGCTCCGGCGTTCAAGATTTTAATGTTTACACTGTCCGCTGCAGGCGAAAAGGGGAGAAATGCAGCTTTAAGATATATTCTTTTGTGAAAAGAAACATTTATGTTTGGGTTGCAAAATGAGCCACACATTGTAGTTAATATTTACCATAAATTTAGTAGCGTCAAATTAATTTTTATTCAGCCAAACTTGCCTTGCTGACTTTATTAGTTTCACACACACATAAAAATTAAACTGTGAATAATTTTCACTTTGATAGTCCTCAAAACTGCTTTAAGCAAGACAACAAATCCCTTCGGTTCACTCAAACCAAGTTAGTAAGTTGTCACTGGTGTCTCAAGAAGTCCATAATGCATCCAAATCCTGATAAACAGTATCATTGCTCACAGATTATGTTAAAAGTAGTGATAGAAAGACAACCTGATGAAATACTACAATGTGGTAATGTTATACTGATTTTGTGTCAAGTTGGTTTACCTTTCTATTTTATGTAAAGTGATTCTGTGTGTGTGTATGTTTGTGTGTTTGGGGAAGGAGGGGGTGGTACCTGGCAGTGCCAGCTTGTTGTGTTTGTGCATCTCTTTGAAGACCTGATTGAGGTCCTCTGAGACCTTGATGTCCTGAAACATCCTGGCCAGCTTGTTCACATAATCGGCAGGCATTCCTACTTCCTACAACACAAAGGACGAGAAAAGAGAACAACGTAGCAAAGGAGAAATTAATTCTAATCTATATCTTATATTATTTATCTTTTTTTTTTACCAAAAAAATGTTTCTGTAGCACAGAGTATCAAAAATTGTCAAGTACAGAAGGCACTAGATTCTTGGAAAGATTTTTGGTCTACTTATTTTTTGTTCTTCTTTTACCTTTCCTCCCTGTAATATTTACTGTCCATATTTTGTTGCGGAGACATTTTTGTTAAAGAACAGTACTGCTAAAACAGTTCTGCGAAACCAGAGCAGTGCTAAAACAGCATTAGACAATATTAGATTTAGGTTCTTGCACAATTGCTTTTGTTAAGACAAAATTAAACACTGATGCATCTGAAGGGTTTAGTTTGTTGTTATATTGAAAAAAAAGGTTTTGTAGAAGATGTGTTTATATTTCTGAAAGTGATTTTGGTCTTTATTGAAATATTGGTATCATTGATCGCCAGCACAGTTCTGGTGAAACTCACTCTCAGCCACTCCACCATGTTTTCTTCAGTCTCGCTGTCTGCTGAAATGTCTAGAATCAGGCGCCTGGTCAGGTGAGCTTTGTGGTAACGCATGAACACGTCTTTATTCTGCACGTATTTCAACACCAAGAGCTGCAAGAAGAGAAGAGAAAATAACACATTTGTCTGAGAATAGAGGAAAGAGAGAAGGCAAAAAGGACTGAAGTGGTCTGAAAATGGATCACCTAAAACCGAGCAAGCTAACTGAGCCCAGTTTAGTAAAAGCAAGGCCGACAGGACAGAGACTCACCACTTCTTTGAGTTTGAACTCGATTTCCTCTGAGGTGAGTTTCTTGCTGAGTGGAGTTTTCCTCAACAACATGTCACAGTAGTTTGCCAGCAGCTCAGGACACTTTGACTCCGGCTGAGTCTTCATACCCACACTGGTTTGATGGGGATGTACACATTAACACACACACATACATACCACAACTTTGTGACAAGGTTTAATCATTGTGCATTACTACATTCACAGTTAACACGGGGTCATTCTACATCTACAAAGGCAAAACAGTTCCACTCACCCTTTCTGTTTCAGAGGCAGCTCTAGTTTGAAGATTGTGGCATCATTGACAACAGCCTTGTAAGCCTGCAGGGGAACAGAAGACATGTACAAGTGATTACCACCACTGTCATAACAGAGCACAGCAGAGGGCCAAACAAGCAGGGCTGCAGCTAACGGTTGGTCAACAATTATTGACTTATATATTTCTATAAAAGGTCAAAATACACTGAAATTGATTTCCCAGAGCCTAAAGGTGGCATCCTTAAATCACCTGTTTTGTCTGAGCAACAGTTGAAAACCACTAACAGTATTCAATTTACAAAACTGAGAAAAGAAGCAAATCATTACATTTGGGGGTGAATTCAATTTCTGTCAGTCAACTAATCAATTCGTTGATTGAAAGTTCGGGGAGTGAGGGGTAAGTTAGTGTGCTAAGTTTAAAAGAAGCTGTTTATTTCAAGAGGAATTCCCTTGAAATATTTTGCTGCAGAGTGTTAGTTGTGTGGCGCTTTGGAAGAAGGATAAAACAGACCTTATCTCTTGCTGTGAGGAAGCGAGGGTCGTCATGGAAGGCCTCCTTCACCAGCTTACTGAAGCGGTTAAACAAAGTCAACAACTGCTCCACATACTTCTCAGAGTCCTGGATAAACATACACATACACACACACACATTTAAAACAATTTCACATGTGAAAGGTTCCCTCCAATATTAACTTTGGTCTGTTAAGGAAATTCTAACAACTGCATCGAATCTATCTGTACCCTAACCTAACACATCGCAGACTGCAGGGACTTTGATTGATCGGCTTGATAGCATCACATTTCCTCCTATGTATTTCCAGCTTGTCCTCCTTCTGCCTCAACCAGTTCAAGGCTCATGCATACTATCTCACCCAAAGCTCTTGTTTCTGCATTTTAGTAATTTCACTAAACGTAACTGCTGTTCAACAACAATCATCCCCAACTCCAACATGATCCGCTCAGTTTCAGTCGCCATTGTTTGTAGTGGTCTACAGCAAGGGCGAGTTCAATCTCAAAACGTTTTGCAACATTTTCTGATTGAACAACTTGTTTCCTTGCAACGTTGTGCAATGTTCCACAACGGGTATTTTTTCTCCCGTTTGGTGGGTGTGTCACAGGTGTTACCCAATCAGCTGCGACAAGTTTGTAAACTCAGCCCTTTCAGCACTGAACTCGCCCCAACAGTGACAAAGAAACTCAACACGGTGGAACAAAGAAACCCCACCGGCAACAAGTGCTTTGGCGGTGTATTCACAGAGTTTAAATTCTCACGAAGGTATGGCTACGTCTGTAGACTCGACGGAGAAGTATAAATTGGCCTTTAGTCATCTTTTTCACTACATATTTTATTTATTTATATATAGTATATATAGTATGTCCTCACTCTAAGAGTTCTGAAGTTGTCAACCAAAATGTTGCTGCCCTAGAACTCACATAACTCACAATAAATTTCAGTTTCCTGCTCTAAATATATCTACTATACGACATGCTCACGACTCAAATAAAGGAGTTGCGGGATTACTTTTCCTTCTTCCTTCTGATGCTCACCGTAGGGGTCACCAAAGTGGATCATCTGTTTAAATCTGGCTGGCAAACCTGACAACACCGTACCCAGTCCTACCCAGCCCGGCACTGAGATCTGATGAGCCACATATTTGATTTGGCATGTGCTTTTTACGATTGCCCCTCCTGGCGCAAACCTCTGCCTCTGTGCTGGTCACTGTGTTGAATCCTGTGTGTCTTTTGTTGCCTATTAGTAGCGATCACGTTAATGAATAGTTTTGTGTTGTGGGGCTGGCCACAAGCACCTCCTCGTTAGCTGTGAGCTAAATTCTTGTGTGTTGCCAGTTAGTGTTTACAGAGTGTCGGTAACACTTCCTGTTTTGAAACCAAGTGATTTGTTTTATGTTTAGTCTGCAGAATTGGGCTAGGTTTAGGGGTGCTGCACTCCCTGTGTTTTTTTTTAAACGATGACTTAGAGAGATTTTTGGTTCTCCTTTTATTTGTAATTATTAATCCCTTGTTTAGAAGGGATCTCTTTTGGTTATATTTCATTCTTTGGTTTACGCAGCACCCATTTGCCCAATTTCTGTTCTGACTTCTGTTTGTTTACCTCTGTTTAATAAATAACATTTCCACTTTACCAAGTTCATCTGGTTTATGTTTATGTCTCCCCTTCCCCTAGCGAGCGGGGACGTAACAAATGGACTGGCTTGGCCATCCAGAGTGGCTGTAGAGCAACCCAGTGTTCAGTGTCTTGCCCATGGACACTTCAACATGTGAACAGGAGGAGGTAGGGATCGAACTGAAATTTCTCTATTGTACAATTCTGACTATAAATAACTATTATATTACTATTATATATAGACATAAGTTGATGAAGTAACATAGTGTACATACATAGTGTAATAAATATACTGTTAACACAATGTACTGTAAGAAGTGGACATGAGATTGAGGAGATGTGCTGACTAATTGTTGAAGTGTGTTGTGTTTGTGCACGTACAGTAGTGATAGTCTCGGCAGCAGCCACCATGTCTGCCAGTCCAGCATTGATAATATGTTCTTCCAGGTCTTTCAGCATGGGATCGATCCCGCTGGGAACCTTGTCCATCAGCGAAAACATGAGGTGCAGCTCTGCTCATGGAGAAGAAAAAGCAGTGTTACACCCCGCACAAAAAGCATGCCAAAACTTCCTGCACTTGCGAATTCGAGGACTCATGGACAGATATTACTAACAATACCAACAACAATAAAATATATATATATATATATATATATATATATATATATAAAACAGTAGTATATACAATTATTATATAGCATTAATAACAACAATTGGTGGAAGGCATGATAAGACGCTGTGAGTGATCCGCATTGCAAAGACCAACAATACATAGCAAATCAAAAACAGGAAAAGTGTCATGGGAAAAAAGACAAAAGCTCATAAACTATAACTGTTTTTGGCAGGTTGTACAGCTGTACTGACCCCCTTGGAAGGAAACCAGCCAACATTGGCCAAAGCTATTTCTATTTTTAAGGTTTACCTGGCTGATACAATAGTGAATGTTGATGCCACTATGTCTAGCAGACATTAGAGTCTGTGTCTTGCAAAACACACAAGTCGAACTTTATCATGCTACATTTAGAAAGAACACATGCCATTAATGTGACAACAGTGCTGCAGTACTCACTGTCTGTCTCGTTGCGTTTGATCATCCCCGGACATTCAGCTAGGATTGTCTCTTTGAACGAGGTCACCAGAGCATTCACACAACACTCCATAAGCTGTGAGGATACATGGAAAACAAATACAGACTCACTTTAAGGGCAACTTTGAAATAACTAAATAGGCAAATACATTTAAAGTAGAGGTAGGCAACGTTAGAGAACTAGCAAGAGACAGCTAGATTTTGAAACAATCTAAATAAAAAAAATTACCACCTCCTCCCTTTAGGTCTCCCTCCAAAGCCATATAGTTTATTTCGGTTTACCATTTTTAGAATTTTCTTTATATTAATGTACATTGTCTGCTATGTAGCAGAAGGGAAATATAAACTCAGTTTCACTTTACAAGCTATCGTATTGTGATTGATAAATTAATTAATTATTTGACCACTACACTGACATATTATCACCTCATACATTTGGCAAACATGTTACTAAACACGGCCCTATTTATGCACGCGGGCGACACAGGGCAACATTATCATTCATTTGAAGTCATGTTTGCATCCACCCCAACAAATTCAAGACCAACATTCATCCTTATTTGAACTGTGTTTTGGTTTCGAACAACTCTTGAGAAAAACATCTGTCTCTTTGGCAGCTAAGTGTTCCACTTTCTTCATCAACTACTCTTTAACCTTGTCGGTTTTCTGTTTAGTGCTGTGTCAGAGCTTATAGCTGAAAAGTACTGCCTATTGCATCTAGAAACAATCAGCAGTGAGACCAAAACAATAGCTGAGAGATGCTAAAAGACTCTAAAAGCTAAAGGTGATGGGAATTGTAAAGCCGATTGATAATTCTTCATTAGATCTACAAGCTCTCACATTACAGTCATTTAATCCACTGTTAATATAAAAATAGTGATTATCGCAGCTTTAAGAGATCCTCATTAAAAACATTGTTACAAAAAAAGCAAATATATAATTATTAGACTTTCATATATCAGAATCGTCTCAACCATACAGTCTGGGTCCGGCTCTACTATGCTGCTCTACAATCTGATGACCTGATAATACAGAAAAGCATATTAAGGACGTCATGAGGTAAGAAAAAGAAAATAAACATCAGATCCTGTCAATGACACTTACTGCTTGAACAGAGTTACATTCACGACGTGTCTCTAAATATCTAAGTGCTCTCTTCTCCTCTTCTCTCAGCTTCATGTCTGCCTGCAGGGAAACACATATTAACACAAGGTTACACAAACACTGAATAAACTAACCCTTAAAACTCTCTTATACAATTACACAAAGTGTTCTCTTTGCACTTTTCCACAATTTTTAGCTTAATGCTATATTAAGGTGAAATTCTCATTTTCACATTTGCAATTTGTAATGTTTTAACCCATACAGGAAAAATTAAAATAGACAAACATTTGGATGATGTTCTGCACTATGAAAACACAAGATGTGCTAATTTGCACTTATACTTGTAATAATCAAAGCGTACATATTTCATGTAGTTCTGGACGCCGTTCTGTTGCAGGTAGGACGGTGCCTGTGTTCTGTAAAACCTCTCTGTGGAGTCCAGGTAGGCTTTCTCAAAGTTATCCCTGTAGATCTGCAGCTTGTCTTCTGGGTTCGAACACAGGTTCACTGGTGGGAGAAAAGGACAGAACGGGACAGAAAAGGACTGTAGTGTTTCGTTCTTAGTGTTCATGCAGTATTCAGTTTTTGTTCTAACATTTTTACAGGAGAACTGCAGAAGTAAGCATTTATTTAAATGGGGAGAATTGAAATCACTACTGTGTCTCTATTTCTGCAGGTACAAATTTGTATTTCTACACATATTAGCAATAATGTGTTCATCTCAGATTTTCTGTGCCCTCCTATTTGTTTATTTCGATCTGTCTTTTTTTTTGGGGGGGGGGGGTTATTTTGCTTGGTTGTTTTATTGATCTAATGTGATTCTATTTCTCAGAGACAGTTTATGGCAAAAGTCAGACAAGATCCGTATACTATTTTCATAGCTCCCATCAAATTTAACAGAGCAATTGTTCGATCTAACAGAGATCTCCATCTGCCTCTGTCAACCAAGTCCAGTTGCCCTTGATTTTAACCTTCGTTGGATAACTATGACCTGGATGACTGAGAATCTTCATAGACATCTGCCACGCATTGTCAATTAAATCATCACAAAGCAGAACAAGCTATATAGAGACACAAACACATTTGACAGAGAGATTTGACCAGACAGAGCAGAGCTGGATAACGCTGCAGATATTCCTCTATCAGGGGCAAAGCATGCCTCTATGGAAATGAGCAAAACTAGAAACAAATATTATATAAGAAAATGTTAAATCTATTACATCAAAATTTTGTCAAAAGTAAAGCATGAATCACATAAATGTTTCAGAGGAAAAAATTATAATAGAAACTATTGCTCTATATAGACATTTTATTTATTTATTTCTGTCTTACCGTATGACTCTCGTACTCCTATAACCAGCTGGGAGTCGAAGGCCTCCCCCTGCCTCTCAGCGTGCACCAGCTTCATGGCGCTGTCCTGCAGGCGACTCTTAATGTTGCAAAAGATCGACTCGTTCCACGTGTCCAGCATCAGCTGGACAAAATAGAGTAAGGGCAGCAATGAATAGTGCATCAAAACTGTGAATAAACAATAAGTTACCCTCCGTGTCCTGCAATCCAAGAATAGTAAAGCTCAGTCTATTTATGAAGTGCTTTTAACGAAACCTTTTCCATCTGCCGTCTGAATCATATTTCCTCACCCACAGCTTCCTCCGTTATCTCAAAATTATTATTTTTTTCACAGGGATCAAACAAATATCACACGATTCATACTTTGCCTGTTCTCTCATAGGAGGATTTTTAGGCCAACTGACCCTTAGCTACTCACTACAGCCTACTTGAACAATGATTTACAGATATGTATGTATGTAAGATGCAGAGGATGTTCCTCCATGTGAGAAGTAGCTCACATGGAGGAACATCCTCTGCATCTTTCTGCCTTCTACACCTCCTCTCCTTTGCTTTTTTCTCTTGTCTTAACTTTCTTTAGTTGCTTTTAATTTAAGGTGATTCTTTCTTGTTGCATCTCGCCTCGTCTTACGTTTCTATTCCCCTCCTGCTCGACCGCACTGGGTTCAACCTGCCCCTGGATGTTTTCCTAATCTAGTTCACCTCCTCCTCCTTGCTGCTTCCTCTTATGTTATAAGTAATCTCATCACCTCTCCTCATTCCTCACCCTTTTCTTCTTTGTGCTTGCTGCTGCTCAGATTTTCAACTCAGATCTTCACCTCTCAACTTGTGGGGTTTTGCCACCTCCTCCTCTCACCTTGCGTACGATGCTGTCCTCCATATTTGTCTTCTTGTTGCTGCCCTGTTTGCCCATCAGTGTAATCTCCAACTGACAGAAGGGTTTGGGCAGGATGTCGCACTGTGTGAAGAACTTCCTCCACTCTACAATGTAGGCCTTTAGCAGCGCTGTGTCATCCTGGTGGCTCAGCACCCGCTGCCATGAAAACAGAGTCAAGCTAAAGGTAGAGGTAGTAATGATCAACCCAGCTTTGTTCACTGCAACAATTGCTCTACGTGGCTTTCACTTTCACCAGTTCTGAAGTTTGTAGTTTCACAGCGTCTGCCTTAACATCTCTATTTGTTACTCATACACACAGGCATATCAAAGCATAAAAACAGAAATGTTCGAGTCTGGCTGGGGACCTTTGCTGCATCTCTTGCTCCCTCATTTCCTGTCATCTCTATAATGATACTATCTAAAGCGTTAATAGAGAGAAAATTCTGATGCCTGTGTTATGATATCTGACAGAGCACAAGCACTGTATGACGGGACGTTAAGTTGGAACTGTTTATTTCCCATTTACGACCATTTGCTCCCATGTAAAGCGTTTTGCTGGATATCGATTTATTCAACAGTTCGCAAACATGAACACTGAAAAGATTGAAAGGGAGTGGTGGTCAGATTATTACGGCGGTTTTATGAGGATTTTTTTTCCCCCTCTTCTGCCCTGGTCACACTGCGAGGGGAAACATTATTTTTAAAGACTGATCTGATCTGAGAAGAATTAGATTAGAGTAACAAGTAAGATTGAAATGTATTACAGTGATCCTAGAAAGAAGAACACAACGCACATTTCTCCCTTTCTCTCTGCATGTCTGACCTTGTGCTGTTGCAGCCTTCATGTTAATCTGGCTGCATTCAATTCAGTATTACAGATGTTACACATGTTACTATGTCTGACCTGGTAAGATAGTAGTTATGACTTTTAAGTAAAAGTGACCAGGGTGCTTAATCAGACATGAGACCAACATGTTAAAGTGTCATCAGATTAACATAAAGGGGTGTAACTTATGTCTGAAAGAAGCTTACTAAATGCCCAAAACAAAAAACCCCATAAATCAAACTAGCCCAAACACGCTTATTTATACACACACGCTACTTACAGCCTGTGCTTGTTTGATGAAGTCTAGGATATCCTCTTTCAGGGCTTGGTGGATTTTGGCTGGTCCTTTATCATCCCACAGACACACGGCATGGACATCTCTGGAGGACAGACAAAAAGGAAATGGGATATCACCAAAGTTCATTCCAGCTCATTATTAAATGTGAATGAGAGCACGTTTACATGTTTAAGGTGATGGTGACACTGCATGCTGCCACTGAAAACAGCAATGCTCAGGGAAGTCCACGTAATGGCCATTTTCGAAAAGCCTATGTTGCCAGGCATATATAATATATAAGGTTTTCTTAGCAACAAAGCTTAATTAAAATACTTTCAAAACCTCAAAGTCACATTTTTGGAGAATCAAGGCCCCAAGTAGCACAGCATGCTGGAAGAAGTGGAGTGTCCATCTCAGAACAAGGTTTTAATTTTAACCCAACATCATGGTCACTGAGGCTACATTGACACTACGTTTTTGTTTTAAAACGCAGACCGTTTCTACGTTTGCACCTCCCTTACAGACTAAAACAGCGAATCTGAAGGCCTTAAACGGAGAAGTCTGAAAACGCTTCTGACCCCATTTTCGTTTTAGTGCGTACAGGCAAAAACGGAGGACTTTGAAAATGATGACGCAGACACTCACGTTTGGCTTCCTCTCATCAGTCATGCACAAAGCTACTGACAGTGTCTTAGTTTTGGTATTTTTATTAAAACTTTTTGTGCTGTGTAAATAACACACACGTGTGCATGTCGCCGTATTTACAACAAGTCCCAGTATCTTTTTCGCCGCCACAGTAGCTTTAGACTCCCATGTTACTATCAGAAATCCGGTTCCACCTCATTGTCTTCCCATGCGAAAAAATCTCTGGTGTAGTTCTTCGTCTGTAGTAGTACTTTCTTCTTCAGCTAAATCAGACTATGAGCTTCATGTTTAAACAAAAACTTAGTAGGGTAGAAGTAGCCTGACAGAGTACTGCGAACACAGACAGGATGAGCTCTTCCCTCGTGTAACTTAGTTTGTAGAGCAACATACCAACTCTGCCAAGTGCTGCCTGGTAGTGACTGCTACTGATTGGTTTTGTCCCAGCATGTGTGTGGCTCCTCCAAACTATGCACCAACAAAATGACCACCCTTAATGACACCCTATAAATGACACTTTAAAAACTGGCTGCTGAAGTAGGTTTCTATTATAAGAGGCAGTGTTAAATCAAGTTGTGGCAGTTAAGCCATGGAAACAAGACACTTTTCAATCCCAGTTTATGAGTGGGAGAAACAGGCTTACCTACAAATTTTTACCAACACACCTTTTGGTAAAAACTAAGCTTGTCTATTGCATGTGTGTGCTGCTGAAATAAACCAAAATAGTATGCCATGATTTGTGGGCAGGCTTGTGTGCTATTCGTAGATAAGACGTAAGGGACAGAACAGAGAGCATCTCTTACGAGAACAAGTCGAACCACTGTTGCTTGGTGACGGCCTCCTGTCTGAGCAGCTTGAGAACGATGGGCCGCATCAGATCCCACTTGTCCTCAAACTGCAAGGACCCCTTGTTCTGGAGGAGAGAAATGGGATGGGAGGAGTGGGAGGAAGAAGAGGAAGGATGAAAATCAACAAAGAGAAGGGAGGTTTTGGGGGAGAGAAAGCAAGAGAAGACAGAGACTTGCAGAGATACACAAAGATAAAGAAAGACTAAGGGCTGGGATCAAGTAGGTTAATCAGATTTTCAGATATTACTGCAATAGAATAGCTTTTGGTGATTTACATTCACATTTTTAATTAGGAAGTGATTTTCATATCACACTCATTATCACTTCTGTTATTAAGCTGTTCAGGTCTTTATACGTTTAGGTAACTGACCACCGCGTAAACTGGCTAAAGTGGGAGTCTTGCATGGAACGACTGGTTGGGTTTCACAAGGAAAAGGAGAAAAGTTATTATTTCAACATAGTATATCTGTAAAATTTTAAATGTTTTTTGATTGGCTTACATATACTCAACCTGTACCATTTAAGCCTTTTCATACAAACTTTCACTGACATACTCATTGATTCCAGAGGCCACATTTTTATGTTTGCTCTATTACACTAAATAATTGTGATGCATTACGGTATACATATTTCATTGCAGGGCTGCAACTAACAATAATTCTTCTTACTGACTAATATGTCTAAGTAAGCAGCTAATCGTTTAGTCTATTAAATGTCAGAAAATAATTCTTCTTGGAGATCAAATGACTTGTCCAACCAACAGTCCAGAACCCAGGAGATTTTCAACTTGTAATTATACCACAGAAATGCAGCAAATCCTCACACAAAAGAAGTTGGAACCAGACAATGTTTGGCATTAAGAAACCGCTTAATTGATTAACAGTTGGCAATTCAGTTTTAGCACTACTACTTCCTTTCAATTTTCTGTTATCTTTGGAAATAGTTGCTCCAACACACACAACATTCACATCTAACTAAAGCTAACCTTTTGATTGATTTATGATTATAACATGAATACTTTGGGGATATTTAGGGGGTTGATAAGACTTGTCAGATGTCAGAACTGATCAGAAATGCCAGAACTTAATGCGTGAGGGGCCCAGCCAATCAAATTAAATGATTGATACCTTCATACCTGCTTTTTTGGGTTGGATACTGTTAAAATGTAGCTGTCTCTTGCTAGTTTCTCTGAAGGTACCCCAGCTTTAAAGAGCAACAGATTCATAACAAATAAGGGAATATACATGAATAGTTAAAAATAACCTTAACCCCAGTTTAAAACAATATCAAAACATTGGTTTGTTGTGTAGATTTAGAGAATTATGGTCCACATAACACAGATTTGTAATTATAGAAGTGATGTGTCCACTAATGCTTTCAGCATCTGTTTCAACAAAATCTCTGTAAAATAACACGCCTGTTACTTTAGCAGGACCCTGTGGCTCTCTGTCCACCTGGGTTTCTTGATACAGTTTGACATTAATCAGCCGGTGCCAAGCTAAGTGCCAAAGTGTCAGAAGAGAAGCTACTTCTATAGATAGTTTTAAGAAGCAGCTCAAGACCTACTTTTATGCTTTTGCATTTAACTGATTAAACACAGTTTTATTTATGTATTTATTTGATTTTATGGCCCTGTTTGCTACCGTTTTTCCAGTTTTAATACCTGTGTTTTGTGCTTGTGGTGTAATTCAACATACATGTAGAAAAGCATACAGCATGTATTTTATGTATGAATGGTGCAGCATACAGCATGTATTTTATGTATGAATGGTGCTATACAAATAAAGACTATTATTATTATATAGTGTCAGAGGAGGGTCCGCCTGTCAAAGCATGCCTACCTTTCTTGCTAGCCTTTTAGCTACCTGGTCAGTGACTACTGTTAGCCGTTAATTAAATTCAAATTAAATATGCTTTATTGGCCTGAGTGTTTAAATTAAACAATGTTTCCAAAGCAGTTTACAACAAAATCAAAAAGTTTACATTTGAATATTACATAACAAGAATAAATGCAATGAAGACCATTGAATTTAGCAATTAAGAGTTACAAAAATAACAAGTACAGATAGAACGGAAACTACAAACAGGATTTAACAAGATTTAAAATGGCATGCAGGGAAGTTAAGTGCAACAGTTCGCTGAGTCACTCGCTGTCCTTCAGGTTGTAATACAGCGACACATACTTGGCGGCAAGGTTTGCAGTATGTCCTTCTCCTAGGATTATTATTACTTGTTATCTTGAAGTTCTTTAAAATCCTGTATTAATAGATGGGATTTCTAAAAATATTGCGCTCTTATGCTTCTACATTTATCACATTTCAGCATGTACAGTTCTCACGTACATTTGGTAACTAGGAATTTTATGTCTCCCTTTTTCAATTGTAAGGGTCACTGGTGCAAGTACTTGATGTAAGAAGCTGCCTCTGCTTGATATATCTGACATTAGATAGATATTCAGCCACTTCATAATCGCTGTTTAGGGCCAGACAAAAATCTAGTTTGTTTAGTTTTCCAAATAAGCATTTTTGCTTTGAGTGATCATTTGGTCTCACTGGTTTTTGTAAGGTAGTTCTGGCTTGAGAAAGGTGTCAGGTGTGTATGACATGTTGCAGGATTTGTTAGTCTCGGGACTATTTATCAAGTTCCTCAGAATTACTCATAAGTACATCGCAAAGAACTGACTTAAGAGTAAAAAAATTCTTGGCTCAAAGTTGCGCTTAAAAGTTAGTCATCAAGCCTGATAGACCTAATTTGAGTGAAGTGTAGGACTAAATCTTAAGTGTCAGTCTTAGATCGGCATTTTGCTGTGCCGCAAACATAATTTTGGTTGACAATGTAGGCAAGGACCAATCACTGAACAGATTCCCTTATTTAAAATTATTCTCAGATAAATTCACATTGAATAGTTAAATACCTAAGAGGAGTTACGTTCTACAGACATTTGACAATTAAGAATTTTTAAGAGAATACATTTTGTACATAGGCTACGTACACATTGGAAATGAAAGATAAAAAAGTTGATCTTTATGTAAGCGGCATCAATTGCATCTACTACTCCTGGAAAGCCGGCTTTTTGCATGAATTGTCTTTGCGTCTGTTGGATTACGATGGGTGCTGTTGGGAAGTCAATCATACCCGTGACAGTGTGTGGCGCTGTAAGTGCCATAATTGTTTCCTTGACAATTCGGCTTATTGATGGTTGTGATGGGGCAAAATCATCAGCACTGCTGCCTTTTTCTGTGGCAAATGAAAACAGCGTCATGACAACCTTCAATTTAGCTGTAAACGTATTGCTGCGTAAAGTCAGTGGTGAAATGACGTCCCTCACCAAGACCCTGTCTAATTTATTGTGCATCGTCAAATAACTCTCCCTCTCCTGAAAGATTCATGTCTCTGTCTCTACAGTGCCATCACAAGCCCCTACTAGCAACTCCTAACCACTTGAGAGACCTCTGGAGCTGTCTTAAATAACTGGGAGAGTAAGAGTGATTCTTAGCTTTAAGTAATTTGGTAACTTGCTTTTATTCTTAAGTTTGAAAGTAGGAGTAAATTTCATGAATTCTCAGCACTTAAGACTGAAATGGCATTTTGAGAAGCTTGATAAATACCGGCCTAGCACTAAGAGCCTTGAATTGGAGGGAGTCTAAGGGCATCAGGAAGTTTAGTGCTCTTTTTTGGGTATCTATTATCAGTGGAAACCACCCTAATTCTGCCCTACACGCATTTGTAGGACTCTTTATTTGAATTTTAGGATGTTTCTGCAGAATTCTGCATGTAGGGTCTCAATGGGATGCTCCTGGTGTTTGTAAAGCAGCGTTGGCTTGAGAAAGATGTGTGTGACATGTTGCAGGATTTGTTAGTCTCTGGATTAGCTGGCATGAGTGACTTTATTTAATTGTTTTACTGGCTAATAATGTTGGGACCAAAACAGTCTATACCTCACGGACAGCACATTCATTACCTGTTCAGCTACTTTGATAGATGATGCTTAAATTAAAGGGTCTTGTGGACACAGACCGAGTGAAGTTATTATACTGTAGATCCATCCTGAGAGGAGATTGGGTTTAATGGTGTAACGCCGAAATCTGTGACCCATCAGATTCTGTGACCCAAAACACCGGTGTGGAACCAAATTAAGTGAGCCATCAGATTCGGTGTCGAAACCCAAACCACAATATTTCCCCAAACCTAACAAAATAGTTTTGATGTCTGAAAAACCATGTTCTTTCCCATTAAGGTCACAGAATTTGATGGGTCACAGATTTTGGTGTCACACCTGTGCCGTCAGCTAACAGTTAGCCCAAATAATGGCGCTAGCACGTTAGCTAAACAATTAGCCCAAAAGGAAGAGCTTTACGGTCGTGCTGCGGACGAGAAGGTTCGTCTAGGTCTAGCGTCTAAGTTTATTTCCCCTTGAACCCGTGTTCTCAAAGCTCTCCAGGGTTGGGTTTAGGGTAAGTTGCGGGTCTTAAGGCGACGCTTCGTCGTCCCCGAGGTGTCTTGACTGGGGTAACGGCTAATGTTTGGCTCAGAATCACAGAAGAAGACAGGTAGCGGTTCGGTTCGAGGATGGGTTCTGTTCAAAGCGGGGGGACCACATCGATGGGGAAACAGACACCGACACAACACTGGACTTTAACAACGACAGCGGTGGCAACTGTGACTTCAGGCGCACCGATTTGTGTATTTATTTCATATATTTACACTATTAGCGCAGATATGTATATACACGAGCATAGTGCAAATAAATATCTACATTAATAGTGAAAAATATATGAAAACGTAGAGTTTAAACCTGCACACAAATATAAGAAATATGATATATTCAAGTGCTGCTTACCTTTAACAAATTAGACGTCGCCATGTTTCTTCAACTTATCACCTCGCAGACTCTCGCGAGAAGATACTACAGCTGGCTCAGGATTATGTCATGGTAACTGCACATTGAAATTAACTTTCTTCCTGCTAAAAACCCAACAAATGAAGACTCTTGAAATTGATGATAATTTTCCAAAGACGTCATTTTATATATCATCTTTTATGTATTATTTTAACAATGCAATTCGTCTAAGGCAGTGTTTCTCAAATTTGGCTCCAGGGACTCCCTGAAGGTATGCACATGAAGAGACCTTCAAAGGGGCCCCAGCAAAAAGGGGAATAATTTATTTTGATTATAATTCCACCCATAAGTAACACAATGACAGAATGGATGATTACTTGGGTTAGGGGTTTCATACACTTTGCTTGAGAACCACTGGTCTAAGATAGTGTAATGTAGGTCTATGTGAGGTGCAAAGCATTTGAACACCATTGATTTACCTTTGTATTTTTATTATACTACAACAGCTCTCCATCTGTTTCCTTACTTCTTAGCCTTTCTCTTCTGTTTTTGCCCCAATATATGTAGTTGCAGTGATGTTTTTGTATTATTAATCTGAATCAGAAAAGTAGAGTAAAAAGTACAATATTTGCCTTTGAATTGCAGTGGTGTAGAAGTAAAGTACCATAAAATGGCAACACCACTACCTCACAATTGTACTTAAGTAAACAGTGCTTGAGTTAATCCAATCCAGTCCACTTTATTTATATAGGACAATTTAAAAAACAACAACAATAAAGTTACCAAAGTGCTGCACAAAGACTAAATAAAAAAGGTAATAGCACATAAAACACATAAAACATAGACAACACACAATCTATAATAAAAAATTATAGATTATAGAATCTATAATAAAAAATAAAGACCACACAGCGCTCATGCTGGATTAAAAGCCAAGGAATAAAAGTAGGTTTTAGATGAGGTATTACAGTTTCGAAGGTCTGGGCCATTTTGACATGGGGGGGGGGGGGGGGGGGGGGATCTCATTCCATAGTTTAGGGGCGACTGCTGAAAAGGCATGGTGACCTCTGGTTGTTAGCGGGATTTTAGGGACGACAAGACGCCGCTGATAATTGGACCTCAGCGACCTCGAGGGGGAGTAATTGGTCTGAGATATGCTGAGGTTGGTGCCTTAGCATATCTCAACATCTTTAAATCTTAAAATGGGTTCTATAATGGACAGGGAGCCAGTGGAGTGAGGCCAGAACAGATCTAATAATAGATAAAAGCCTAAAATAATAAAAACTGGATTGAACCACAGACTTAATCTGCTTGTCAAATTTAAAATCATTGTCCATTTTGACGGAGAGATTGGTGACTCTGTGTTTTATATATGGTTGCAGGGAACCTAGGTCCATAGGAGCGACATCACAGACCTAAACTTAAGTGACAAACTATGACTTTAGTTTTTTCTTCCTTCAAATTTAAAAAGTTAAAAGCCAATCAGGCCTTAATATCTGTAAGAAACTCTAGTAGAGCTTTCAGGGAACGGTTATCATTTCACCAAGAGTAAATGTACTTAGTCAGTTTCAACAATGAAGCACTTTTCCTCCAACATGAGCTGTTATCTCATCAGCAGATAACACATGAGGGTGAATACAAGAGGAAGCACAGTGATGACTTCTTTCAGTGTCTCTTTCATCATCAGTTCTTATCTTTAAGTGCTGCAACCTGTCTTCAACACATTATACACACAAATAAGTGAAAGAGTAATCTTTGTCCTCTGAGTCAGTTAATCATCAATCAAGTCAAGGAGTGAAAAGCTTGTAACAGTTAAAAACTCAGAGATGATTCCTCCAACACTCGTGTGGCAACATGGCAACTAAGCAGTCCGAGGATGCATCCGGGTACATGAGCTACGAGAATCCGAGCAGTGGACTCATGGTGTGGATCAGGAAATTTAACCCCAAGGGAGTTTTCACCTGGTGAGTGGACAGAGGAGATGAGAGGAAGAGACCCATGTTAGAGAGTTATAAAGAAGGAAGTTCACAACTTTAGATGTATCGTTGGAGCTGAGGTCTTTCTGCATTCAGCCAGTAGTCTGCATCAAATAGTGGCACTGTTATTTTTAATTAGATGTTACTGGTGTAAAAGTCTTAAAGGCAGTGGTGGAACTTAACCTTAGTACATTTACTCAAGTACTGCACAATTTTTATGTACTTTTTATGCTATTTTATACTCCACTACATTTCAAAGGGAAATATTGAACTTCTTACTCCACTACATTCATTTGATAACTTTAGTTACTCGTTACTTTTTAGATCTATGGTACAAAATACAATCAAAAAATAAATTATGACGTATTATTATGGGATAATATAGGACTTTATTGGGAAAAATTCTCAAGCTACCTAACAGTAGCCTTTATAAATTAATTAAAATTAGCTACACCTTTACCAACTGCGACATTAAAATGATGAACACATCAACGCATCAATAATTATAGTCCAATAATATCATATAGGCCTACTGCATATTGTTTCTGAAATGGTTCATTTTGCATAATGCATACTTTTTATTTTTGGTACTTGAAGTACCTTCCTAATGTAAGTTGTAATTACATTTTTGTATAGAGTAAACAAACGAGAATGAGCGTCAGAGGTGCAGGTAGGTGGATTTTTTTTATCTTAAAACAGACCCAGGCTAGCGGTTTCCCCCTGTTTTCAGTCTTTGTGCTAAGCTAAGATAGCCAGCTGCTGGCTGTTGCCTTATATTTAGTGTGTGGACATAAAAGTGGTTTAAGTCTTCTCATCTAACTCTTAACAAAAAAGAAAGTGAATATATATAATTATCTATAATACTTATAATTGTCAAACTTTTCCTGTTTAGATCATTGTAGCCAGTACGGAAGCACTAAGAGGCAGAGAAAAACATTTCTAGTGATCCATTTTCTTAGTCTGATCTAAATTGTTTTCTTCTCTGTTTGTGACTTAATAATTGTTGATAAGTTTCTTTTTTTTTTTTGCATCTGTGAAACCTGTGGAAAAAGTTTTTTCCATATGAAAATAATATTTTTTGTCATGATCATTTGTTGGAAAGTGTTTGTTGTTAATATTCATTTTGAATATTGTTAACCACTAACCCAGGTTCTAACCTAACCAGGACTAAAATCATTCATGTTTTCTTTTCTTAGAAAATGTTCCTGACAAAAAAATTCTACCTAACTTTCATCTATTCTCTATTTATAAACACAGGAGAGAAAACTATTAAGATAAAACTTTTTTTTTAAATGGATCACCAGAAGTTTCTTTTTTGCCTTTCAGGGCTTCCTTACCACTGTTCTCAAGAATGTTTAAAAAGGTCGACAAAATGCAACTTACAGTAAATACATAAATAAATATGCCTGGTATCTTTACAGATTTTTGTCTCTCCTCTCTCTTAGGCAGTTGGCCAAGACATTGGCCATGGGTCAGGGCCTGGCTTGTCTCATCTGTGGGACGGCCATCAGCTCCCAGTTCCTGGCCACAGACTTCCGTGTTAACACACCCATGCTGCAGAGCTTCTTCAACTACGCCCTGCTTAGTCTAACCTACACCACTATGCTGCTCTGTAGAACAGGTAACACCACCACTTAGGGTCTGAACACCTGAGATAATACCTGTAAAATAGCAGTAATCCTTTTTTAAATGGTAGCAATAATACCAAATGTTTTTGTTTTACTTTTAGTATTCTGTGATTCAAGTTATATGCTTAAATGTTTGCTTCTGCACTATAGCAACAATATTTTATAAACAGGCATCAATGGTTGAAAGTATATTTATTTAAGTACTATACTTAAGTACAAATTTTAGGTACTTTACTTGAGTATCTATTTCATGCCCCTTTGTGCGGCTTCTCCACAACAATTTGGTTCTTTTAACTACATTACATTTGTGACAGCTTTAATTACCAGTTACTTGCAAATTATAGATTTTATTTTTACAAAACATGTGATAAATGATGCATTGATATAAATTAAAGTACCCAACAGTGTGTACAATTTTCTTTACCTTGACCAACTACTGTACAGCAGTAAAATGCTACCAACCAATGCAATATTACATTCAAATCTCTTTTTTTTAAATTTGGCAGACGCTATTATCCATCGCAACTTACACATGATGATATATCAGTAGTTTAACACTCACAAGGCCATTTTCTGCATTTATTTATTTTTTACTTTTGATATCTTTTTTGCAGATTATTCTTAACACTTTTACTAAAGTAATTTTTTCAATGCAGGACGTTCATATGTAAAAAAAACCTTTTACAGTGTGGTGTTGCTACTTTTACTCAAGTAAAGTATCTGAGAACTTCTACAACTGACAGGTATTCAAAAAAGTATACAACTTAGTATATAGCTAAGATGACATTCTCAAATTGTTTGGATGTGCCATGAATTCACAAATTTCTTAATACTGAATGGAACAAGCAAAGATGGTAGATGCAACTCATCTGCCTACGAGCAACAACTGTCCTCAGGCTTGGTGGTGAAACAAAAAAATGTCAATACTGAAGTTCAGGGGTGTTCTCCTTTAAAACACAGGGGATGGAAATATTTTACAGATTCTGAAGAGGCGATGGTGGAAGTACCTTCTGCTGGGGCTGGTGGATGTGGAAGCCAACTACGTGGTGGTTAAAGCATACCAATACACCACCCTCACCAGTGTACAGGTGGGTACAGGTTATGTTAGTGTGGGTTTCATGAATGAAGTATTTGTTGTAAAGAAACAGGTCTCAGAGCCAGAGATGTGGCAAGTCGTGAGGGTCAAGAACTGAAAGACAATGTTGAAAAGTTCCAATCTGTCGACTGGGTTTATAAAAATGCAAACAATAAACTTGCTCTCATTCTGGAAGTTTCATTTTTTTATTATTAATAGTGCATATATGACAACTCATGGTTCATTATTCATGTGTTGTTCTTATTGGACTTAAACGGGAGATTCACACATCTGCTAATAGGTTAGTTGTATTTATTGATATCTGTGTTGATATTTGAATATGTGTTCCCGTCTCCAGATGTTGGACTGCTTTGTGATCCCGGTCCTGATGATACTGTCCTGGTGGGTTTTGAAGACACGCTACAGGCCGGTCCACTATGTAGCCGTCTGCATCTGTCTCCTCGGAGTGGGGGCCATGGTGGGGGCCGACCTGCTGGCTGGACGAGACCAGGGCTCCAGTAAGAACTTCCTTGTAGTGATTAATCACTCTGAGTTCGTCAATAGCCCAGGCTATAATTTGTTTAGCCATTGATTGATCAGGGCCAGCATGTAGCAAGCTGGACTTTAGTGAAAGAGTAATAGTAAAAATCCTCCACCTTTACTATAATCACAGACTTAATGGGGAATTGTGCCAATTTTATACATCAAAGTCTGTTTACGAGCCTTTTAGGGCTCCAAAGGAAGCTACACAAAAGTCTGATAAACTGCCTCAAGTGATGTCAGTTAAGTCAGTGTCGTTTGGGCCTAAAGACTACAAGTTTGGAAAAAAAATCTGGGGCTGTGGAGTTAGGTAGAAATTAGCTTACCAGACCTCTATAACCCGTTCTTCATCCCTGTTTGAGGCAAGAGGCTCCAGGATATATGAGCCAACTTAAGAACCCTCTTTAGCTCTCTTAAAGTTAAAAGCATTTCAAAATGGTAAGAAATGTGATCACAAATATTTTTAATCTGTCTTAAATCTCAATTTAAAATATATTTTAAATATGGAGGAGTAGGAGTAAAAGTGAAGCATCAGCAGTGAATTCCCCAATATCAGTTTTTTTTGTCTTCAGGTCAATCAAGTAAACAAATGTTTACTTGTCTCCCTAATTAGTCAATTTATTTTGGTAATCACAAAAACCTAATGACCTGTACCTGAGAACTTTGCACCACCATCAGGCCAATGAGTTGTTGGACCACAGTAATGATATCTGTCTCTCGTCCCCTCAGCCTCAAATATCTTGTTAGGTGACGGTTTGGTGCTGCTCAGCGCTACGCTGTACGCCGTGTCTAATGTCAGTCAGGAATACACAGTGAAGAACCTGAGCAGGGTGGAGTTCCTGGGCATGGTTGGCCTGTTTGGCACAATCATCAGCACCATACAGATGTAAGTGTGTATGGGCGTGATCAGTTTTAGGACTCATTAAACATTATGGTTAATCTGGTGTTCTTTGTCCTTTACTCAGGGTGATCCTGGAGCGTAATGAAGTTGCTAACATCCAGTGGAGCTGGCAAGTCGGTCAGTACTCATCTCACACACAAACATTTTGAAGACAAAACATTTTCTGACTAAACTGAAAAGTTTGAATTGAAGCAATTTCCCTTGTAAAAAACAAAGATGAACAAGAAGGGGCAATATTATTACCCCATATTGACTTCTGTTGGTTACAGCAATGATTAAATCTGTCCCCTTTATATCAGAGGAGCAGAATAACCACATTATAAATCAATCAGTATTTAATGCTGCATTCAACATTTTTGGTGACTAAGGGACAGAAAGACACAGAAACAGCTTTTAAGTTTTACAAGCAGTTTTCTTCTAGTCTTTGTGCTAAAGAAGGTTAAAATGTCCCAGATCTCTGTAATGGACATGTAGATTAAGTTGATCATCTGCTTAAAAAGGTGAATAAGCATATTTCCATAATGTTGGATTGTTCTTTTAACAAGCATCTCTCCTCTCAGGGCTCCTGTTCTCTGCCTTTGCGTTGTGTATGTACACTCTGTACAGCTGTATGCCTATAGTGATGAAGCTGAGTAGCGCCACCTCCGTCAACCTCTCCCTGCTCACCACTGACCTCTTCAGCCTCTTCTTTGGGGTTTTCATCTTCCAGTACAATGTAAGCAGACACACATACATTTTTACCCCCTAACACTAGCCTTCAAGGATTACTCTGTAGTTTTCTTCGTGTCATTAAATCCAATGAAAAGACCACAACAAATGTATCTACGAACATTGTGTGTATCACAGTCTGATATATGTTCTTTGTCTTTGCCATAGAGCTTCACTGATGTTCAAAAACTATTAAAAACACATAAAAGAGCCACACAGTTGCACTGAGTGAGATTTTCCCTCATATCTACTCACTCTAGCACCAAATGTGGATACATCCTCTGCTGAAAATAGACCCAGTAAATGCACAAGTTCCTCCAGTTTGAGTGAAGTTTTCTAAATAAAAAATGAACACGTTGCTGGTTTTTGGTGTTACCATGGAAGTTGTTTACAATAAGGAAAATTTAGAATATTACCAGATGTACCCTTTATTTATTTATTTAATTCATTAATTTGTTTTTGTTGTTACATTTAAATAAAATACAAATTATATAAATGTATGTATGACTTCTAGCCATAGCTAATTTGCAGTGCAAGTGATAACACTCATAATAAAACACTAATAAAAGCATAGAGACAAACAATAAAACAAACAGTAGTTGAACAACAATGAAAAAACAATGACTGAAAATGATAGTCAGGTCATTGTGACCACTTTTGGGTCACAATGACCTGACTGTACGTGACCGTGACGCAACATTACTGAATAATAATAAAGGTTAAAGTTTAATTTCAATGTCATGTTTTCCCACAGCTGCTTGCAGATTCAAAGTTTATAAACTTGTGAGCGAATGATGTCCATTAAATGACCTTTAAACAAGACAAGTAAAAAACATAAAATATAACCGATTTTTACAAAGGCATGTTGCAGAGATTATATGAATTAAAATAGTAATCCAAAGCTTTTAGGGGGCCCTCTTCATTTAGGGCCAAAGGCAGTTACCTACTCTACCTAACAGTAAGGACAACCACTGTGGACTGGACCCAAAATACATTTGGGTTTTTTTTTATTTGTTTTTTTTAATGCTTCGCTCCAGTTAAGGCATCACCTCGCCACATAAAATGCTCCCTTACTGGATCACCTTTGTTCATAAAATTAAATTTAGATGTAAGCTGCTCGCTCTCTGCTCCTTCTCAGTTCTCTGGTCTCTACCTGGTCTCGCTGGTGGTCATCCTCATCGGCTTCATCGCCTTCAACGCTGTACCGACACCCACTGACCGCACAGACGCCACCACCTCCTCTTCCTCGTCCATCTGCGAGGAAGGTTGCTTTGACAATCCTGAGGCCACTCAGAATAACATCACCAAGCAGGAAGTGGACGCGAGGATCACCACTGAGGAGGAGGAGGAAGAGGAAGAAGAGCAGCAGGAGGGATGGAAGCAAGAGGAGAGGCGGAAGAGGGAGAGAGGTTCAGGGCCATCACAAAGCCTCGGACAAGGGAACGATTATGTTGCTGCTGTTGGATGCAGCACTAAAATGTGATCTACAGCATGAAAACCTGTCAATATGTCACTTATATTTTTTAAACATGTATTTATTAAGTTTATTTCCAATATCCCACAGTACACATAGAAATAAATAAGGAAAATGAAAGAGCAAATACAAATAAAAACTCATCCATGTTTAAAGCTATTGTTATTGTTAATTATGTTCTTGTATTAGGAGTGTTGTGTTGAAGGAAATCCATAAAAGAAACCTACATCTTCTCTAAAAAAAAACTACTTAAAATCATATTTACCAAACAAAGTCAGCTGTCTGACAGTATTTTTATCCAATGGCTGATTTTTTCTTCTGGGCATTTTACAAAACACAACACAGAACATGTTTCACTCAAAAGCCCCCCCCCCAAAAAATCACATGATCATAAATAAACATAACAACCGTCTGATCTCCTCCACATCCTCCATTAAAAAGATGTTGAGCGTTCAGCTCGTCAGTTATTATCCCTACGATGGTCACTAGGCCCTACCATACCTGAGAAATAAATTTCAACAAGCAGAATTTGAAAAGAAGTAAATCTTTATTGTGCAAAACTGTAATTTGAACAGAACCACTACAAACATGACAAATACCAAAAGGATTGCTGGTTTCTGATCTGCCACCTCTGTGTTGTTATGGTTTGGTAATGTTTAGACAAAAAAAAAAAAACTTTGCTGAGGTTGGAGAAAGATTAAAGGGTTAAAGGGAACAAAAACTGAATGTTAGCAATAGGAAGTGGTTAATCGGCATAAATTGAAAAATCCACCTGTATGTACATTGTCCTGGTAAATGTTGTTGTTTTTAACAACAAACAAGTCTACGTCCAGGAGCTAAACATTTTATCTAATAGCAGATGGTTTTTAAGGAAAGGTTCGAGTTCGACTATTCCCTAGTCAGAACAGAAAAAATGCCAGCTATGAAGTAGGCCTTACAGAAGATGAAAAAGTAAACAATAAAGAGAGCGGCAATCCTACAGAATATAGAATGCATTGTAAAATAAATTATTATAAGTGTGATAGTGCCTGTGGAAGGGTACATTTAAAATCTGCAAATATACATTTATGTACATGGAAGTGACCAGATCATATCAAGTGTCCGTCAAGTGATCAGTAACTTCCTCTAGTCTCTGCTTAGCCGGACAACTGGTCCCCACCAAGGAATAATCTGCCACATAATACCCCATAATGTAGAGTTTTATTTCTAGCGCACAGACCAAATCCTTCATTCAGCTTCTGCCCATAAAGCAGTGATAAGATCTGGTGTGTTCTCAACAAGAAAGTCCTCACGAGAAACACAAAAGCACAAAGTAGACAGAGTGATGGAAAGAAGCTACCCCAACAATTTTCACACTGCGATGTACTGTTGGTAGGAGACTGATTATATGAGATATTGTGAAAGTGTCATTATTACAATCTTCTCCTCCGCTTGTTGGAAACTTCTCCAAACCTCCTCAATCTCCTCCTCCTGAGCTCCTCAAGTCTCACCTCCTCCGCAGTGGGGTGGACACCATAAGCTGGACGTGCAGTTTCTCTCTGCCTGGTTCGTCCTAAAAAATATGATCTCATTACTAAATGTGTGCGTTTCTGACATTTATTTGGCTCTTATTTGTACTGACTTTAAACCGATTGACTGGTAGGAATAAAACATTTTGCTCAGCAGCAACAGCACACACCAGCCTCCGTCCATTAGTTGTCATTTTTCTCTCTTACCTCCATCATTCAGGCTGTTTCTGATTGCCATCTCTAACTGCTCTTCCTCTGTCAGTCTTGCAATATCAGATTTAGATGCATCATCTACAGTATGATCTTCTGCATGCTGTGGATCTTCTGAGTGTTCTCGTGTAGTCCCACTGTAACCTAACACATTTACACGCATGTAGACAATAAAATTACATTAAAAACAGACCCAACAGTACACAATAGTGGATGGCTGTGTGTACTTCGGTTTTGTTTTTAGGGTGCCACTTCATAAAAAACATTTGAGAAAATGAGAACATAATATGCAATGGAATTGAATTCATTCAAAAGCAACATGGTAATCTTAAAGAGGTGGTATTATGGTTTTCGGCTTTTTCCCTCTCCTTTATTGAGTTATATATCTTTTCTGTGCATGTCCTAGGTTTGCAAAGTGAAAAAGCCCAGAAAAAGAGGTTCCCCAATTAATGTGCCCCACTGATTACAATGTAATTAACAGTACAAATCATTTTCCAGAGTGTATCCCTGCTTTTTCAGTATGTTATGAATACTCTCCTTTCCATTTTCTTCTTTCATTACACTATGTGTAGCATTTTAACGTTTCTCAGCGGTAGTAACAAAAAAGGCACTGAGGCAAACAGCACTAGTGGTACCCTAAGTTACTGAATAACCATGATCAAACAAAACCTGTATATACAGTATTATACTGTCCCTTTAAAGACCAATGTGTAAGATATATGGGTGTTGCATAAATTAATCATTCTTAATTAATCATTCTTAATCATTTTATTATCCTTAATTAGTATTAATCATTAATCATTCTTAATCATTTTCTTTTCACCTAGATGTGCCTTGTTTTTACTTATAAGTAGTGAACTGTAGTCATGAACACAGAAACAAGCTCACCGTGGTTAGATTCTTGAGTGGGAGGATTGACTGCAGGAGAGGCTGCAGATGTTTAATTACCGATTGAGACCACATGTTTAATTACTGATTAAGGGTTTGATTGTCAACTTCTAACCTCTGATTATTACAGCCTGTGTGAACTGTGAGCAAACTTGCTGAGGGAATTTTTGATGACAGAAAAACCAGACAGAGGCTTGCTGAAATCGCGCCAGATAGTGGATGACATAAAAAGCGACAGATGCTTGACGAAAACACATCACAGAGATGATAAGCAGAAAGCAGAAAAATGCCAGCATAACATCAAGAGTGTTGTAAGAAACAGCATTACAGACGTTATTCTTGTATTAATTTTTTAAGAAATATAATTGTGTGTCAAATTTTGCATGCATAACTTTTAAAAAATACAGTGAGACTGAAGTTGAAATGTAAATGGTGAACTTCTTATCCAGTAGTATAAAAATATAGAAAGTCAACAATACAGTAATATATGACAGCTGGAGAACAGTGTTAATTGGTAAAACAACACATGTAAGCAGCATGACATTCACCATAAGGAAAGGAGGGAGCAAACCAGCCCAGAGGGGGATATAAAAGGCTGTCTGCAGACCACAGGATTGACACCATCCTCCAGCCTGCTGGGACAGATAGTTAATAGAGTATTTTTTGTTTAAAAAGCTGGTGAAGGTGGGGACCAGGCCTCAACTGGCCCAGTCTGGCCACATCTGACCAAACATGGGGATCTATTGGTAGAATATGGCAGGATAATTATGTTTGCATTAGTGCCCGGATATTCCACCGCCATGTTCTACAGTAAACAAGAGAAAATATCCAGTGAGCAGCAGTTGTGTGGACAAAAATGCCTTGTTGATGTCAGAGGTCAAAAGAGAATGGGTATACTGATTCGAGATGACAGAAAGGCAACAGTTACTCAAATAACCACTCGTTATAACCAAGGTGTGCAGAATACCATCTCTGAACGCACAACACGTCGAACCTTGAAGCTGATGGGCTACAGCAGCAGAAGACCACACCGGGTGCCACTCCTGTCAGCTACGAACAGAAAACTGAGGCTACAATTCACACAAGCTCACCAAAATTAGAAAATAGAAGATTGGAAAAACGTCGCCTGGTCTGATGAGTCTTGATTTCAGCTGCGACATTCAAATGCTAGGGTCAGAATTTCGCGTAAACAACATGAAAGCATGGATCCTTCCTGCCTTGTATCAACGGTTCAGGCTGGTGGTGGTGGCGTAATGGTGTGGGGTATATTTTCTTGGCACACTTTGGGGCCCTTAGTACCATTTGAGCATCGTTTAAACGAGACAGCCTACATGTGGCTGACCACGTCCTTCCCTTTATGACCACAGTGTACCCATCTTCTGATGGCTACTTCCAGCAGGATAATGCACCATGTCACAAAGCTCAAATCACCTCAACCTGGTTTCACTTCACTGTACTCCGATGGCCTCCACATTCACCACATCTTAATCCAACAGAGCACCTTTGGGATGTGGTGCATCGGGAGATTCGCATCATGGATGTGGAGCCGACAAATCTGCAGCAACTGTGTGATGCTATCATGTCAATATGGACCAAAGTCTCTCAGGAATGTTTCCAACACCTTGGTGAAAGTATGCCACGAAGAAATAAAGCAGTTCTGAAGCCAAAAGGGGGTCCAACCCGGTACAAGCAAGGTGTACCTGTAAAAGTGGCCGGTGAGTGTAGTTTTTCCTACATGCTTGGAAGGGGAGGGTGAAGCGAGGGGTATTCAGTTGATTGCAATCTGCAACCTCACCACTAGATGTCACTAAATCTTGCACACTGCTGCTTTAAGTCTGTTTTCTCAAATACTATATCGTACCTGAAAAGTTGAAGTATGAACTTGTTCGAGGATTATTTCCATCTGACAGGGGGGAAAAAGAAAAAAAAAGTCAGAGAAAATATTTCATATTAATTGTTGACATGCACTGACTTAGTGGCACAGTTAACATTCAGATGTCAGATGTTAACATCCAGAAGTTGATTTATAATTAAATATTTAAAATGAGCAAACATTTTAAGCATTTTTATATTCAAGTGAAGTTACACAGTATGAAATTAACCACAGAAAGTACTGTATTTGTAGGATTATAATACAAGTGAAGTGTGTTAAAGAACCAATTCAAAAATGGGATTCATGAGTAAGTAGCCAATCAACAAAAGCAAACCAAGGGATGCTGTCCCTGTTTTTATTTCTTGCATTATCAATAATTGTAGCGTTAGCAAAACTAAGAGGCTTTTAGCCACAGCACAATATTACCAGTTATTACAGAAGCTGTAGCTCTTTAAGTAAAAAAGTATGACAACAATGTTTTGCTTTTCTGATTCATCTCTTGATTAAATAAAACTTCTCGTCTTCTGTAGTTGAAGTCAAAGCTGTGCACCAAGTCACACAACAACAGTGTGTAAGAAGAAGCCCTCAGTGCCTGCAGCCTCATCTTTACACATTTTTAAACTTCTACACAGATTTTTGTTTAGGTTACAGGATGAAGAAACTCATTCAACACAAATATTTACAGTATATAAACGGTCTAGAAAGCAACACACACATTCAGACCTGCACTTGTCTTCATGATGGTCTCCAGTGGACCCACAGTGTAGAGCAAACCCACCAGGATACCTGCCAGGTGGCCAATCAAAGAAGTCCTAAAGCACAGATAAAAAATACACTACGTTAAACAGTATACTAATCAGTGTAATTACTGTACTGTGACGTAGGGGCTACTGCGAACATTTGGAAACTTAACAAAGAAAAGGACAACTATTTTTCTCAATATGCATTACTTTGATTTCTAAGATGTTCCTGTTCCTGTTCTGTGTTGATCACCTGTGAATCTTTCAGTATTACAATTAATTAATTAATATAATTAATTAGCCTGAATGTGGTGCTAAAGTGTGAACAGATTACATACTCAGAACCTGCTCAGAGTTATGTCTTTAATTGCTAAAGTATCTCACCCCGGAGCAATTAGATAGATCATCACCAGCTCCACCCAGCTAGCGAAGCGGTTGGACACACGAATATTCAACACGAACGTGACGCCACCTGGGTTATAATGGTTAGTGACCACCTTCAGAGCGAACAGGACACCTAGAAACACAGTTATATTGAAGAGCTTCATAAACTTGGCATCAAATTCAACAGCATCATAAAAACATATAGATAGATATTTAAGAGGAAGATAAGATGTAATTTTATCATAAAACAGAAAACTTTTTTTGTTTTAATGCTGCAACTGAAAATAATTTTTCTGACATTGACTTTCTTGATTAATTGATTAATCACTTTATAAAATGTCAGACATTTATAAAAGTCTTCAAAATGTTGATCTCTAAGGGAAAAATGCATAATCACAATTCACCAGAGCACAAGTTGACATTTTTGGTTTGTTTTGTTTAGCAAATATTCACATTTTAGAAGTTGAAAACAGAAAATTTTAGGCATCTTTTGGTGTCAATCAACTAACTGATTAGTCGACTAATTTGTGACTTTTGAAAAACTCTACAGAAATACCTTCTTTGTTCAGTTGTTAAAACAACAACACCTGAGGTAGTTTGCACCTGAGAAGCCGACAGCACACTCCCTACTGTGCGATGACACGTCTATGAATTCTGCTAACAGATCAGAGTCTTTCATGAGGGTTGTCAGCGCCGCCTGCAGCAGCAGATAGACCAATCCGGTGAGCAGAGAGAAGACTGACAGCAGGTAGAGGAACCAGCCTCCGCCCAGACGGCGCTCCAGCCTGATACCTTTCCAGAGGAAGGACACCATGTTGAAGTAGAGATGCCAGTCATCGACGTGGTGCAGGGGGGAGAGGAAGAGGCGACGCCAGTCTTTATCCTTGTACACATACTGGAGGCTCACACAGGCCTGACGATTGGATAGACAGAAAGGAGTAATTTTACTATAATTATATGAATCTGCAACTATCTTGATCATCATTAATAAATTAATTGTTTGAGTAATAAAAATTCTCTGATTTCAGCTTCTTAAATGTGAATATCTTCTGGTGTCTTTACTCTATACTAGTTTACTCTATAACTGTAAACTAAATATATTTTGGATGCGGACAAAACAAGATATTTAGGGAAAGTTATCTTGAGCTTTGGAAAACACTGATCAACATTTTAAACGCACAGATGAAAAGATCAATACCAATCTCATATTTGTCCACCAAATATTTTAGGCTACAGCCATTTAGCTTACCTTAGCACGAAGACTGGAAAAAGGACACGTCTCTGTCCAACAGTAACAAAATCCACCTACAAGCACCTCACGCCCTATATCTCATTTATTTAATCAGTAGAATAACCAAAGTGTGAAAATGTCTTCACTTTTAAGCTGGGTTGTGTGCTCAACTATTTCTTGGGACTCCAGGAGGTTTCTGGTCCAAACCAAGAAAAAGTCCAGCACATAACCTCCTGTGAAAATGACAAATTGTTGTTTTTGAATTGACAACTCAAGAGTCCAGTGGCAGAGTGAGTAGCAGTAGAGATGCTCCTAATGTTTCAGTGATGAATTACCTTCATCAGCGGAGCGGCAGGGAACATGTACAGATACACATTGAATCCCAGGACAGTCAGGGTGACTGCTGGGATGTTGCCCAGACCCTCCTGGAATAGCTGGAAGGCCAGAAGCAGCAGGCCCAACTGGAAACCCCTCTGCATCCTGACAGCACCCTGAAGAGAGGTGGTTAAAGGTTAAAGTTCAACATTTTGGCAAATACACTCATTTGCTTTCTTGCAAAGACTTAAATGAGAAGATTGACACTAAATATGAAATTACTCTCAGCAACCTCTTAGCTTAGCTTAGCACAAAGAGTGGAAACAGAGGGAAACAGCTAGCTCTGTCCAAAGGTACTAGAACCTGTAAAAGCTCACAAGTTATCTGGTTTGTTAAATCTGAGAAGAAACAATTTGTTGTTATTTTCCAGACTATTTTCATTCATTTCCTGAAGACTTACCCTAAACACTACTTCCATAATCTTAACCTTAAGTTTTCACTCTAAAATGTTATGAATTAAGTTATGGGGATATGCGTTTTGTCCCCATAAGGAAGGAAAGTCCCCACAATGTGTAAACTGACTTATGTCCCCACAACATGTTTATTACACACTCACACACATAAGAGAAGCACATGGCCTGGACTACCTGCCATTGGTATCCAGATGCCGGAGAACAATTGTGAATTCTTAAATGTAGCTTTAGTCAGTGTATATTAGTTTGTGTAACAAAGAGAGCTGTCACCCTACCGGGATTCAAACCCGCGTTTACAGGGTACCAAACATGCAACTTGACCGCAACGTCAAAAAGCTAGGCTTTGATGGAGATGAAGGTGGACATGGAGGAAGAAGAGAAGGTGGGACCCGGCACTGCAACTGCTCCTCCCATGTGCACCCATTTTGCACCAGAGCAAGCCGCAAAGCTCCTCCACCTCCTGCTGTATATTTTCCACTACATGTTGTGGCACATGGTAGGGACTTTGGTGAATTGGTCGTCCATCCTTTAGGCGAACAACATGCTCAACGAGGGGGTTTCTCCCAGGACTGCCAGCTAAGAGGGAATGGGTCTTCTCGAAGACCTGGAGGAGCTGTGCAGGGTATGATTTCTCTTTTTGTTTAAGACTATACCATGCATTTCTGTCTGTATTGCAGAGATAACAGTTACACCATTTAATTGCAGACCCATAAAACTAGTTTGTATCATATTTTGAACGCACTAGCTTCACCGCACCAGTTTCCCCTACCAGAGTAAATGTGGTTAAATTCCACCACTGTAAGAAAGTTATCAGACCATTTGAGTTCACACAATCTTCACATCTAACTCTCAGCAAGAAAGCAAATAGGGTATTTATTTACTAAAATGTGGAACTTTTTCTACTTTATTAACTTAACTTCAGACTTTCCAGTGGACAGATGTGATGCACACATACAAAAAGAAGGTAGTTTCACACTAAATCATAACATCTTCAGGGGTAAATTAAAGGCTTAGTTTATTAATTAATGAAAACGTAATACATGCCTGAAGGCTGTAAAGAAATAAAAAAGGGTGCTGCAACAAGGAAGACACTATAATTACTCCTCTTCCCCATTCTTTTCGTTATTATGAAAACAACAGAGCAGCTGATTCATACAAGAGAAAACACTTCAGGATCCAAACTGTGACACTTAAAATAAATCTGAACACACTTTACATACTCACACTTAATCCGACTGTCGCCCTTGGTTGAAGCTAAGTTTTGTATTTCTCTGGCGTGAAGTGGTGGAACTGCAACACATTCATCCCAAAGTGACCGTCAGCCAGCGCCCATGTCTGCGCGCTCCTGGAGAGACAGAACCAGAAACGAAACCGAAACCTCAGCGGTCCATGAACGCGGACTCAAGTCCGCCTGCGCTCAGGAGTTTGAGCGCTCCAGGTCTCCCCATGGGCGACGTATAGGGGAGAAAAAAGTTAGGACAATTCCAAGGGCCCCTGACTGACAGGGGCCCCAAAAGATTATTATAAACTAATATCACATTATACATTATATAAACCATCATCACTGAGTATAAATATATTTCAAGTATAATAATAAAATGAATGATCTTTGTTTTTACTTGGTTTTGGCAGTAAAATTTAAAAATCCCCATTGACAAAAAAGCAAACCTCCATATTAAACGACCACCCCCCTGTATCTGCATGAAATGGTTTAGTCCTGCCTTAGCTCACTGATCAGTGACGTCTTTAGATGCAGGCAGTAGATGCGCCAGAAATACAGTGTTAATAATGTGGCCTAGTAAACCAAAATCTGGTTTTCAAAAAAGGAAAGAGAGAAAAGAGTGAGAGGAAAGACAAAGGAAAGGATGTCAATCTGGAACCCAGTTTTTCCCCAAGAAAGGTGGGCAGCCTTTAGTCTGTGAGTGGTGTTAACCTGTTGGCTTCATGTCCACAGTGAAATAAGATAGCTACAGAGTAGTGTTAGCCTACATTTCATCAACATTTAATCAGTGCAAGGAAACGCAACTGTAGCCTCCCTGTCCCAGTTAAGAAGGTGAGCAGCACTGTGTTAATGACAGGCCATTTAGCATCATTCCAGGCAGGCTGTGGGGATTTCTCTGTCTCTCTTGCTCTTTTTACCATAACAAAAAAAAGACAATGAAATATTTAATGACAGAAATTCAAACACAAATTATTTTCTCACATAATGATCATTGTCTGTACTGGAAGCTGGACAGCAGCTTAACTCAGCCTGCATGTAAGTTACAGACTATATTAAAATAATCCAGTTTGATACGTCAATCATTTAGATTGAATTATGGCCGTTAAATGACATCTATAGATACAGACTTTATTAAATGGTGACATGCATCCTCTATGCAGACTTGCATGTACAAATCACCAGCAGTAAATATTGTGCTAGTACTAGTATTGAACTACAAGAAGCAAGACACTTGCAAGCCTTTAATTAGAGTTATGTAAAGCTTTTGATGGGACAGTTAAGTCCTAGAGAAGTAGTGTCAACAGCTGTGCATTTTTTTGTCATGGGGCCCAAAATTCCTGGCGGCCCCTCTGGGCCTACCACGCAGGTTTCTCTCCACATACGCGGACTGTTTCAGTCCTTGAAGTTTTTTTTCTGTTAGTCTGCTTTAATCTGCTGCTCCAAAATGACTTCAGTTGAATAAACACCTCTCTGAAACAATTTAACCTTTATGACAGAAGGATTTATAGCAGGATTGTTGTATTAGACTACATTACTTTTAACTAGGTGTACCAAATAATCTGGCAACTCAATGTCTATTCATCAAGAGGTGCGATTTGGTAAATTTCCATTTGTGTAGCCTATCAAATAGCCTACTTACAAATAATATTATTTACAACACGTAATAATCTTATAGGCAAATTGAATATTTTTAATGTAAAATAATTTCAATTAAATTGAATTTTAAAAATCTGAACACATTTTTAGATGTTTACCATATAATTACAAAATTGCATTTAGGTATTATGGGGAAAAGATTAATTGTCTAGGGACTGAGATTGTGTTGGTAAATTATCTTCCTACATAAAAGGGCTTACTGAAAGTTAGACAGTCTTTTTGACAATTTTGAAAATCCTAATTTACTGAACATTGCAGATGGAATAAATCACTGAAAGAAGAAATCATAATAGATTTTAGGAAAAGCAAAAAAACACCCATGGTCTGTGTAAAGGTGGTGGAGAGGGTCTCGCTTTAAGTTCCTGGGAGTACACATAACTGAGAACCTAACCTGGAACCTGAACACAATCTACATCTTCAAGAGAGCCCAGCAGAGACAGTTGGTTCCTCCTGAGGACCCTGAGACGGATCAGCTTCTACTGCTGCACAATTAAGAGTGTTTTAATATTGCTGTACTGTGTGGTATTCTAGCTGCAACGCTGCCGACAAAAAAGACTTGCAGCAGGTTGTGGAGGTAGCACACACACACACACACACACACACACACACACACACACACACCATAATATCTCTGTGTTTCATTGCTTCCTATACTTTTTATATTGAGTATTTTGTATTATATTTAAAGTATTTATTTATATCCATAAGAATGTGTCTCATGTGGCTTAATGTTACATGCAATGACAATATCTATTTAATAATATTTAAAAAACGTGAATCAGGGATGGGCCTGAAACCATGGTTGAACCACTTCTGCATGGTGAAAACTGACATTGTCCCAAATAACTACATATGTGACCCCTTCACCTTGATAGGCTGGCTCAATTTTCATTGAGAATCTCAATGAGATGTGCAGCATTGTAGGAGCCAAGTAAAGGCCTACGTCCTACCACACCATCTTCAGATATAGCTACCCACAAAATTAGTGTGTAAAATTACTGTGTAATTTTGTGTGTTGTACAACTGTACAATTGAACATGTGATTACATGTTTGAAATTACAGCTTTTTTATGATCTGTGTTACGACCCCCTGTTGGTCTAGGTGTGTGGGGGCCATAAACATATAGGCACAACTGGTATAGATCTTAACAAGGTTGTTCTGTTTATTGGTAACAGAAGAGATGTAGACAGGTAACAAAAAAAAACACCTGAAAAACGAGGGTGCTGCGAAAATAACAAACCAAGTTAAAATAAAAAGGTCCTCAAAAGGAGGCCTGTACCTATCTATCGTTTTAAGCAGAGTTGATTCTTGCTACAAAAGAACACAAAGAGCACAGCACCCACTCCACCTGGTGAAAACTAACACAATAGTAAACAAAACAATAAGTGAATTTCTCCACTGCACCCAATGTGGAGCTAACATACAAAGGTATGCAAATGGTTTCCCTAAACACAATGTACAGCTAATAAGCAAGGAAGGTGGATAGTTCCACTAAACACAAAGTACAACTAACAGGCAGGCTATGCAGTCAATACCAGCGGCACACAAGTCAACAGGCGGTGACAAGCTGCCTGGAGCAACAGGTGGACTCTCCTTATGAGCCGGAGGTAATTAACGTGGTGACGAGCCATTGGTTGAGTGGAAAACAGAGGGAACCAATGGGCGGTACAGATGTCAGCACCCCAGAAACCAGGAAGTAGGCGGGTCTTCATTCCCCAGGGACACAGCCTACTTGGTAGAGGTGAGACAGGGAAAAGGGGAAACACAAAGGTGACAGCGACAGCTGTGACATCTGCTTCGAGTTTTGAGACTTTTTACCACATACTTGCGATAATAGTACCAAAATGATAAAAAAAAAACCTGTAATGACTCTTACTGCTTTGCCTTTGTTCATAAAATTAAATTTAGCCTGCTGCTCACTCTCCCCTCCTCAGTTCTCTGAACTCTACCTCGTCTCGTTGGTGGTCATCCTCATCGGCTTCAATGTTGTGTCGACACCTGCTGACCGCACAGACCCCACCACCTCCTCTTCTTCGTTGATCTGTGAGGAAGGTTGCTTTGACAATCCTGAGGCCACTCAGCACGACTTCACCAAGCAAGAAGTGGATGTTAGGATCACCACAGAGGAGGAGGGGGAGGAAGAGGGAGAGGAAGAAGAGCAGCAGGAGGATTCAGAGAAGGAGGGGTGGAAGGAAGAGGGAGAGAGCTTCAGGGCCATCAAAGAGCCTCGTACGAGGGAAAATTGATTGTTGTTGCTATTAGATGCAGCATGAAAATGTGATCTACAGCAAAAAAACCTGTCATTCATATTTTTTAAACACATGTATTTGTTGAGTTTTGCTTATCATCATTATCAATGGCAGTCACTCGGGGATTGAGTATTACTGCCCTCCTTCTGGGTCCTTATGAGTCCTCAGGTGGGAGTAGAGGCCAATCCTGGAGCTGCATTTTTTTGGGCAATGTGGGCAGGGGTGTGAAGGAATGGTGGAGGATGTGGTCGGGGTCTTTCTGGTAGCTCGCTCCTTTTTGAGTCTGCGTTCTGGAGTCTCCTCAGTGGGGTGGAAAACATAAGCTGGACGTGCAGTTTCTCTCTGCCTGGTTCCTCCTAAAAAATTATATTATTACTAAATATGCGTGTTTTTGACATTTATTTTGCTCTTATTTGTACTGACTTTAAAATGGTTAACTAGTAGGAATAAAAGGTTTTGCTCAGCAGAACAGCACACACCAGCCTCCCTTCATTAATTGTAATTTGTCTCTCTTACCTCCATCATTCAGGCTGTTTCTGATAGCCATCTCTAACTGCTCTTCATCTGTCAGTCCTGCGATATCAGATTCAGGATTATCGCCTGCATCTCTAGCTGTATAATCTTCTGCATGCTGTGGATCTTCTGAGCGTTCTCCTCTAGTCCCACTGTAGCCTAAACACACATTTATAATAAAATTAAATAAAATATAGATTAACCCAAAAGTACGCAATAGTGGATGACTCAATACTTCGCACTCATGGTAGTCTTAAAACATGTCCTAGATTAGGGGTTACAAAATTACTAAGATCAGATACATGTATATAGATTCATTTACATGCTGTAGCACCATAGGATTACTCAGATAAAATAAACCTCTCTTTGCATGTTTACAGAGGACGGTTGGGTTTAATAAAGAGGTTCCCCAATAAAAAATAAAAATGTCCTTTGTGCCCCACTGGTTGCAATCTAACTAGCAGTAGAGTGTATCCCTGCTTTTTCAGTATGCCATGAATGCTCTCCTTTTCCATTTTCTTCTTTCATTACAGTCCCTAGGTGTAGCATCTGAACATTTCCCAGCGGTAGTAACAAAAAAGGCACTGAGGCAAACAGCATCACATTGTTGGTACAATGTATATATTATACCGTATTTCCCTTTAAAGGGTTTATGGGGATCTACTGGCAGAATAACTATGTTTTCATTAGTGTATAATCACCGAAAAATAAGAATCATGTTGTCGTTAACTTAGAATGACCCCTT